CCATCTCTCAGACATTAACTTGTTGTCTCCATCTCTCAGACATTAACTTGTTGTCTCTATCTCTCAGACATTAACTTGTTGTCTCCATCTTTCAGGTTGTTGTTGTCCCCATCTCTCAGACATTAACTTGTTGTCTCCATCTCTCAGACATTAACTTGTTGTCTCCATCTCTCAGACATTAACTTATTGTCTTCATCTCTCAGTCACTTGTTGTCTCCATCTCTCAGACATTAACTTGTTGTCTCCATCTCTCAGACATTAACTTGTTGTCTCCATCTCTCAGAAATTAACTTGTTGTCTCCATCTCTCAGACATTAACTTGTTGTCTCCATCTCTCAGACATTAACTTATTGTCTTCATCTCTCAGTCACTTGTTGTCTCCATCTCTCAGACACTTGTTGTCTCCATCTCTCATTTTTTTGTTGTCCCCATCTCTCAGACATTAACTTGTTGTCTCCATCTCTCAGACATTAACTTGTTGTCTCCATCTTTCAGACATTAACTTGTTGTCTCCATCTCTCAGACATTAACTTGTTGTCTCCATCTCTCAGACACTTGTCTCCATCTCTCATTTTTTTTTGTCCCCATCTCTCAGACATTAACTTGTTGTCTCCATCTCTCAGACATTAACTTGTTGTCTCCATCTCTCAGACATTAACTTGTTGTCTCCATCTCTCAGACATTAACTTGTTGTCTCCATCTTTCAGACATTAACTTGTTGTCTCCATCTTTCAGACATTAACTTGTTGTCTCCATCTCTCAGACATTAACTTGTTGTCTCCATCTCTCAGACATTAACTTGTTGTCTCCATCTCTCAGACATTAACTTGTTGTCTCCATCTTTCAGGTTGTTGTTGTCTCCATCTCTCAGACATTCACTTGGTGTCTCCATCTCTCAGACATTCACTTTTTGTCTCCATCTCTCAGACATTCACTTATTGTCTCTATCTCTCAGACATTAACTTGTTGTCTTCATCTCTCAGTTTGTTGTTGTCTCTATCTCTCAGACATTCACTTGTTGTCTCCATCTCTCAGACACTTGTTGTCTCTATCTCTCAGACATTAACTTGTTGTCTCCATCTCTCAGACATTATCTTGTTGTCTCCATCTCTCAGACATTCACTTGTTGTCTCCATCTCTCAGACATTCACTTGGTGTCTCCATCTCTCAGACATTCACTTGTTGTCTCCATCTCTCAGACATTCACTTGTTGTCTCCATCTCTCAGACATTCACTTGGTGTCTCCATCTTTCAGACATTAACTTGTTGTCTCCATCTTTCAGACATTAACTTGTTGTCTCCATCTTTCAGACATTCACTTGTTGTCTCCATCCCTCAGTTTGTTGTTGTCTCCATCTCTCAGACATTAACTTGTTGTCTCCATCTCTCAGACATTAACTTGTTGTCTCCATCTCTCAGACATTAACTTGTTGTCTCCATCTCTCAGACATTAACTTGTTGTCTCCATCTCTCAGACATTAACTTGTTGTCTCCATCTCTCAGACATTAACTTGTTGTCTCCATCTCTCAGACATTAACTTGTTGTCTCCATCTTTCAGGTTGTTGTTGTCTCCATCTTTCAGACATTAACTTGTTGTCTCCATCTCTCAGACATTAACTTGTTGTCTCCATCTCTCAGACATTAACTTGTTGTCTCCATCTCTCAGACATTAACTTGTTGTCTCCATCTCTCAGACATTAACTTGTTGTCTCCATCTCTCAGACATTAACTTGTTGTCTCCATCTTTCAGACATTAACTTGTTGTCTCCATCTCTCAGACATTAACTTGTTGTCTCCATCTCTCAGACATTAACTTATTGTCTCCATCTCTCAGACATTAACTTGTTGTCTCCATCTTTCAGGTTGTTGTTGTCTCCATCTCTCAGACATTCACTTGGTGTCTCCATCTCTCAGACATTCACTTATTGTCTCCATCTCTCAGTTTGTTGTTGTCTCCATCTCCCAGACATTCAATTGTTGTCTCCATCTCTCAGACACTTGTTGTCTCCATCTCTCAGACATTAACTTGTTGTCTCCATCTCTCAGACATTAACTTGTTGTCTCCATCTTTCAGGTTGTTGTTGTCTCCATCTCTCAGACATTCACTTGGTGTCTCCATCTCTCAGACATTCACTTATTGTCTCCATCTCTCAGTTTGTTGTTGTCTCCATCTCCCAGACATTCACTTGTTGTCTCCATCCCTCAGTTTGTTGTTGTCTCCATCTCTTAGACATTCACTTGTTGTCTCCATCTCTCAGACATTAACTTGGTGTCTCCATCCCTCGGACATTAACTTGTTGTCTTCATCTCTCAGTTTGTTGTTGTCTCCATCTCTCAGACATTCACTTGTTGTCTCCATCTCTCAGACACTTGTTGTCTCCATCTCTCAGACATTACCTTGTTGTCTCCATCTCTCAGACATTAACTTGTTGTCTCCATCTTTCAGACATTAACTTGTTGTCTCCATCTCTCAGACATTAACTTGTTGTCTCCATCTCTCAGACATTAACTTGTTGTCTCCATCTCTCAGTCACTTGTTGTCTCCATCTCTCAGTCACTTGTCTCCATTTCTCAGACACTTGTTGTCTCCATCTCTCAGTCACTTGTTGTCTCCTTTTCTCAGTCACTTGTTGTCTCCATCTCTCAGACACTTGTTGTCTCCATCTCTCAGTCACATGTTGTCTCCATCTCTCAGTCACTTGTTGTCTCCATTTCTCTGACACTTGTTGTCTCCATCTCTCAGACTTTAACTTGTTGTCTCCATCTCTCAGACATTAACTTGTTGTCTCCATCTCTCAGTCACTTGTTGTCTCCATTTCTCTGACACTTGTTGTCTCCATCTCTCAGACTTTAACTTGTTGTCTCCATCTCTCAGACATTAACTTGTTGTCTCCATCTTTCAGACATTAACTTGTTGTCTCCATCTCTCAGACATTAACTTGTTGTCTCCATCTCTCAGACACTTGTTGTCTCCATCTCTCATATTTTTGTTGTCTTCATCTCTCAGAAATTAACTTGTTGTCTCCATCTTTCAGACATTAACTTGTCGTCTCCTTCTTTCAGACATTAACTTGTTGTCTCCATCTCTCAGACATTAACTTGTTGTCTCCATCTCTTAGACATTAACTTGTTGTCTCCATCTTTCAGGTTGTTGTTGTCTCCATCTCTCAGACATTCACTTGGTGTCTCCATCTCTCAGACATTCACTTTTTGTCTCCATCTCTCAGACATTCACTTATTGTCTCTATCTCTCAGACACTTGTTGTCTCCATCTCTCAGACATTAACTTGTTGTCTTCATCTCTCAGTTTGTTGTTGTCTCCATCTCTCAGACATTAACTTGTTGTCTCCATCTCTCAGTTTGTTGTTGTCTCCATCTCTCAGACATTAACTTGTTGTCTTCATCTCTCAGTTTGTTGTTGTCTCCATCTCTCAGACATTCACTTGTTGTCTCCATCTTTCAGGTTGTTGCTGTCTCCATCTCTTGGTCACTTGTTGTCTCCATCTCTCAGTCACTTGTTGTCTCCATCTCTCAGACTTTAACTTGTTGTCTCCATCTCTCAGTCACTTGTTGCCTCCATCTCCCAGACATTAACTTGTTTGTCTCCATCTCTCAGACAGGTGTTGTTTCCATCTCTCAGACACTTGTTGTCTCCATCTCTCAGTCACTTGTTGTCTCCATCTCTCAGTCACTTGTTGTTTCCATCTCTCAGTCACTTGTTGTCTCCATCTCTCAGACACTTGTTGTCTCCATCTCTCAGTCACTTATTGTCTCCATCTCTCAGTCACTTGTTGTTTCCATCTCTCAGACACTTGTTGTCTCCATCTCTCAGACATTAAATTGTTGTCTCCGTCTCTCAGTCACTTGTTGTCTCCATCTCTCAGTCACTTGTTGTCTCCATCTCTCGGACATTAACTTGTTGTCTCCATCTCTCAGACACTTGTTGTCTCCATCTCTCAGACACTTGTTGTCTCCATTTCTCAGTCACTTGTTGTCTCCCTCTCTTGTCTCCATCTCTCAGTCACTTGTTGTCTCCATCTCTCAGTCACTTGTTGTCTCCATCTCTCAGACATTAACTTGTTGTCTCCATCTCTCAGACATTTGTTGTCTCCATCTCTCAGACACTTGTTGTCTCCATCTCTCAGTCACTTGTTGTCTCCATCTCTCAGTCACTTGTTGTTTCCATCTCTCAGTCACTTGTTGTCTCCATCTCTCAGACACTTGTTGTCTCTATCTCTCAGTCACTTGTTGTCTCCATCTCTCAGTCACTTGTTGTTTCCATCTCTCAGACACTTGTTGTCTCCATCTCTCAGACATTAACTTGTTGTCTCCATCTCTCAGACACTTGTTGTCTCCATCTCTCAGACACTTGTTGTCTTCATCTCTCAGACACTTGTTGTCTCCATCTCTCAGACACTTGTTGTCTCCATCTCTCAGACACTTGTCTCCATCTCTCAGACACTTGTTGTCTCCATCTCTCAGGCACTTGTTGTCTCCATCTCTCAGACACTTTTTGTCCCCATCTCTCAGACACTTGTTGTCTCCATCTCTCAGACAGACAGTTGTTTTCTCCATCTCTCAGACACTTGTCTCCATCTCTCAGACACTTGTTGTCTCCATCTCTCAGACAGACAGTTGTTTTCTCCATCTCTCAGACACTTGTCTCCATCTCTCAGACACTTGTTGTCTCCATCTCTCAGACACTTGTTGTCTCCATCTCTCAGACAGACAGTTGTTTTCTCCATCTCTCATACACTTGTCTCCATCTCTCAGACTCTTGTTGTCTCCATCTCTCAGACAGACAGTTGTTTTCTGCATCTCTTGGACAGACAGTTGTGTGTTGTCTCAATTTATCAGACAGTAACTTGTTGTCTTCATCTCTCAGACAGTCACTTGTTTTATCCATCCATCAGAAACATGCTAGCTGCCTCAAACTGTCAGTATGGAGCACACATTACCCATACTCTCTGATGTGGAAGAGCTAATCACTGAACAGAGCATGGAGCTGATCACTGAACGGAGTGACAAGCCAATCACTGAACAGAATGAGCAGCCAATCAATGAACTGAGTAAGGAGCCAATCAATGAACAGAGTAAGGAGCCAATCAATGAACAGAGTAAGGAGCCAATCACTGAACAGAGCAATGTGCTGTCCTGGGACATTGACATTTCTTCTGCTGCAGGTAATTTCTTCCATGTCACTGACACAGACATTACTGCACTATGCGGTTACTTTGCCAGTGCTCAGTTTTCTTTAGCGTTAGCAGCTGCAAGAGACTGAGTATCTTTGAATGTTGCTATAGTGCAGTAATTCACTTTTAATACGTAATGATTGAAATAATTGGTTTCAGAAATATTTTGTTTGTGTAGCACCTGTACGACACATCCACATTATTTTTTGTCTCTACAGAAACAGTTTATCAAATGAATCAGGTGCTTGATGTCTCTACAGAAATAGTTTAGTTAATCATAAGAAATATTTTCTTAAAATCTCACAGATATATTTTATCACATGAAACATCTACTTTATATCTCTTAGAACAGTTATTAAAATGAAACATCTACTTTTTATCTCTAAGAACAGTTTATTACATGAAACATCTACCTTTGGTCTATTAGAACAGTTTATGAAATGAAACATCTACTTTATATCTCAAAGAAAAGTTTATCACATGAAACATCTACCTTTGGTCTATTAGAACAGTTTATGAAACGAAACATCTACCTTTGGTCTGTTATATCTATAAGAACAGTTAATGAAATTAAACAACTTTTTTAAATCTCTAAGAACAGTTTATCACATAAAACATCTACTTTATGTTTCTACAGAAACCATTTATCACAAGAAATATCTGCTTTATATATCTACAGAAATAGCAGCAATACTGTATGCCTGTGATCAGGAAATATTTCGGGGATGGAGAAATAGCACTGTAAGTGTTGTGGTAGTAGTTGTTGAGTTTAGTTGAGTCAAGAATTGACATCACAGCACTCGGGGCGTTCCCATGCATGCTCCATCCTAATTTTTAACAGTCAGTGCAGTGTTCCAATACTGATGGTACCGGTCACAATCTGGTTAAATGTCCATCTTGCCTTTCCTCTGAGTGTAGTCAGCCAACCAAACCCTCTGGTTACACCCATGTGCCTCATTCTCTCCAGACCATAATAATCTTCTTTCTCTACTGATTCAGTTGCTTGTACCAAAAGGGCCTTGACCACATCTGCCTTGTCGTGTATTAATTCACCACCCAGTGATGCAGATCCAGCCAATCTGTCTGCCTGTTCATTACCAACCAGGCAGGCATGGCCTGGAGAAAAGATCCAAAGTATGCTCACTACCTGTGACCTTTCCAGTGAAGCTTTCTAAGCATCCCTGTCTTCACCTTTCTCAGCATACTTTCAGAGTCTGTTACAATTCTGACATGTGTATGCATTTTGTTCTCTAGCCACCGGAAAGCTGCAGTTACCGCCTTCACCTCCATTCTCATGCAAGATGTTGTGGTGTCCAATGCTAGGCTGTCTTGCACTCAAGATTTTCCATTGGCTTTCGCTACGAACCCCCAGACACTTCTCTTTCCTCTCAGCACCGAACCATCTGTATAGATAATCAAATCACCTGGGCGTGAATTTTCGTGAATCAACTGTTGAACTTCAACCTCCGTAAAACCCGCTGGCTACTCACTGCACACCCGCCCAATGTTATCATAACCCTTCACAGTTCAGACTTTACGGCTGGTTCTCTGACCCACTTCTCTCCTCTCCCAATGTTCTCCAGCATGCATACTTGTCTTATTGTGTCTTCTGCTTGAGCCATCCACAATTTACCCCCTTTCAGGCTCTGACCCTTGCCTGCAGCCAAAGCTTCATACAGAGGGTGTTCCCTGTCTGCAGCTACTCTGAGATTTGACCTAGCCTGCAGCACTTTAAGCCTATCTGCAATGTGTGTATTAGTGTGTGTGCATGTTTTAGTGTGTGTGCAAGTGTATTAGTGTGTGTGCATGTGTATTAGTGTGTGTGCATGTGTATTAGTGTGTATGCATGTGTATTAGTGTGTATGCATGTGTATTAGTGTGTGTGCATGTGTATTAGTGTGTGTGCATGTGTATTAGTGTGTATGCATGTGTATTAGTGTGTGTGCATGTGTATTAGTGTGTGTGCATGTGTATTAGTGTGTGTGCATGTGTATTAGTGTGTGTGCATGTGTATTAGTGTGTGTGCATGTGTATTAGTGTGTGTGCATGTGTATTAGTGTGTATGCATGTGTATTAGTGTGTGTGCATGTGTATTAGTGTGTGTGCATGTGTATTAGTGTGTGTGCATGTGTATTAGTGTGTGTGCATGTTTATGAGTGTGTGTGCATGTGTATTAGTGTGTGTGCATGTGTATTAGTGTGTGTGCATGTGTATTAGTGTGTATGCATGTGTATTAGTGTGTGTGAATGTGTATTAGTGTGTGTGCATGTGTATTAGTGTGTGTGCATGTGTATTAGTGTGTATGCATGTGTATTAGTGTGTGTGCATGTGTATTAGTGTGTTTGCATGTGTATTAGTGTGTTTGCATGTGTATTAGTGTGTGTGCATGTGTATTAGTGTGTATGCATGTGTATTAGTGTGTTTGCATGTGTATTAGTGTGTTTGCATGTGTATTAGTGTGTGTGCATGTGCATTAGTGTGTTTGCATGTGTATTAGTGTGTGTGCATGTGTATTAGTGTGTGTGCATGTGTATTAGTGTGTGTGCATGTGTATTAGTGTGTGTGCATGTGTATTAGTGTGTGTGCATGTGTATTAGTGTGTATGCATGTGTATTAGTGTGTATGCATGTGTATTAGTGTGTATGCATGTGTATTAGTGTGTTTGCATGTGTATTAGTGTGTGTGCATGTGTATTAGTGTGTATGCATGTGTATTAGTGTGTGTGCATGTGTATTAGTGTGTATGCATGTGTATTAGTGTGTTTGCATGTGTATTAGTGTGTTTGCATGTGTATTAGTGTGTGTGCATGTGTATTAGTGTGTTTGCATGTGTATTAGTGTGTATGCATGTGTATTAGTGTGTTTGCATGTGTATTAGTGTGTTTGCATGTGTATTAGTGTGTTTGCATGTGTATTAGTGTGTATGCATGTGTATTAGTGTGTTTGCATGTGTATTAGTGTGTGTGCATGTGTATTAGTGTGTATGCATGTGTATTAGTGTGTGTGCACCTGTATTAGTGTGTTTGCATGTGTATTAGTGTGTGTGCATGTGTATTAGTGTGTGTGCATGTGTATTAGTGTGTGTGCATATTTATGAGTGTGTGTGCATGTGTATTAGTGTCTAAGCTGACAGAAAGTGTCTAAGCTGACAGAGAGTGTCTAAGCTGACAGAGAGTGTCTGTTTTGACAGAAAGTGTCTAAGCTGACAGAAAGTGTCTAAGCTGACAGAGAGTGTCTAAGCTGACAGAGAGTGTCTAAGCTGACAGAGAGTGTCTAAGCTGACAGAGAGTGTCTAAGCTGACAGAGAGTGTCTAAGCTGACAGAGAGTGTCTAAGCTGACAGAGAGTGTCTGTTTTGACAGAAAGTGTCTAAGCTGACAGAGAGTGTCTAAGCTGACAGAAAGTGTCTAAGCTGACAGAAAATTAACATTTTGAGAGTAAGTGAATATGCTGACAGAAAGTGTCTGTGTTGATAAAAAATGTATATGTTGACAGTAAGTGTGTATGCTGAAAGTGTCTGTGCTGACAGAAAGTATTTATATGCTGACAGAGTGTGTCAGTCTTGACAGAAAGTGTACATGTAAGAAATTTGTATTATTTCAGGGAGTAAATGATGGGCACCTGCATAGGAAGATGGCAAAGGTTGCTCAGAAAATAGCAGAAGTCATTCAGGTGTGTGAGACATGTGATCACTGCTTCCCTTTTGTAGACAGTATTGTTTTGTATTTCAAAGTCTTTGTATTGTCTTACATCATGTTTATATTGTCTTACATCATGTTTGTATTGTTTTACATAATGTTTGTATTGTCTTACATCATGTTTATATTGTCTTACATCATGTTTATATTGTCTTACATCATGTTTGTATTGTTTTACATCATGTTTATATTCTTTTACATCATGTTTATATTGTCTTACATCATGTTTGTATTGTTTTACATCCTGTTTGTATTGTCTTACATCATGTTTGTATTGTTTTACATCATGTTTATATTGTCTTACATCATGTTTGCATTGTCTTACATCATGTTTATATTGTCTTACATCATGTTTGTATTGTTTTACATCAAGTTTATATTGTCTGACATCATGTTTGTATTGTTTTACATCATGTTTATATTGTCTTACATCATGTTTGTATTGTTTTACATCATGTTTATATTGTCTGACATCATGTTTATATTGTCTTACATCATGTTTGTATTGTCTGACATCATGTTTATATTGTCTTAAATCATGTAAGAGGTGGAGGAGGCGGAGGAGGGGAGAAGAAGAAGAAGCACAAGAACATAGAGGAGAAGGAGAAGAAGAAGAAGCACAAGAACATGGAGGAGAAGGAGAAGAAGAAAAAGTTTGAAATCTTTATCAGTTTTATAAAAAATCTAATGAGCTAAAGACTATGACCATAGAGCTGACAGGTGAGCCTGATGTGTTGGGATGCTGACAGGTGAGCCTGATGTGTTGGGGTGCTGACAGGTGAGCCTGGGGTGCTGACAGGTGAGCCTGGGGTGCTGACAGGTGAGCCTGATGTGTTGGGGTGCTGACAGGTGAGCCTGGGGAGTTAGGGTGCTGACAGGTCAGTCTGATGTGTTGGGGTGCTGACAGGTGAGCCTGGGGTGTTGGGGTGCTGACAGGTGAGCCTGGGGTTTTGGGGTGCTGACAGGTGAGCCTGGGTTGTTGGGGTGCTGACAGGTGAGCCTGGGGTGTTGGGGTGCTGACAGGTGAGCCTGGGGTGTTGGGGTGGTGACAGGTGAGCCTGGGGTGTTGGGGTGCTGACAGGTGAGCCTGGGGTGCTGACAGATGAGCCTGGGGTGTTAGGGTGCTGTCAGGTGAGCCTGAGGTGTTGGGGTGCTGACAGGAGAGCCTGGGGTGTTGGGGTGTTGACAGGTGAGCCTGGGGTTTTGGGGTGCTGACAGGTGAGCCTGGGGTGCTGACAGTTGAGCCTGTAGTGCTGACAGGTTAGCCTGGGGTACTGACAGGTGAGCCTGGGGTGCTGACAGGTGAGCCTGGGGTGCTGACAGGTGAGCCTGGGGTGCTGACAGATAAGGCTGGAGTGCTGACAGGTGAGCCTGGGGTGTTGGGGTGCTGACAGGTGAGCCTGGGGTGCTGGGGTGCTGACAGGTGAGCCTGGGGTGCTGACAGGTGAGCTTGGGGTGCTGACAGGTGAGCCTGGGGTGCTGGGGTATTAGGGTGCTGACAGGTGAGCCTGGGGTGTTGGGGTGCTAACAGGTGAGCCTGGGGTGTTTGAGTGCTGACAGGTGAGCCTGGGGTGTTGGGGTGCTGACAGGTGAGCCTGGGGTGTTGGGGTGCTGACAGGTGAGCCTGGGGTGCTGACAGGTGAGCTTGGGGGGTTGGGTTGCTGACAGGTGAGCTTGGGGTGTTGGGGTGCTGACAGGTGAGCTTGGGGTATTGGGGTGCTGACAGGTGAGCCTGGGGTGCTGGGGTACTGACAGGAAAGCCTGGGGTGCTGGGGTGCTGACAGGTGAGCCTGGGGTGCTGACAGGTGAGCCTGGGGTGCTGACAGGTGAGGCTGGGGTGCTGACAGGTGAGCCTGCGGTGCTGACAGGTGAGCCTCGGGTGCTGACAGGTGAGCCTGGGGTGCTGACAGGTGAGCCTGGGGTGCTGACAGTGAGCCTGGGGTGCTGACAGGTGAGCCTGGGGTGCTGACAGGTGAGCCTGGGGTGCTGACAGGTGAGCCTGGGGTGCTGTGATGCTGACAGGTGGGCCTGGAGTGTTGGGGTGTCGACAGGTGAGCCTGGGGTGCTGGGGTGCTGACAGGTGAGCCTGGGGTGTTGGGGTGTTAGGGTGCTGACAGGTGAGCCTGGGGTGCTGGCTTGCTGACAGGTGAGCCTGGGGTGTTGGGGTGCTTGCAGGTGAGCCTGGGGTGCTGACAGGTGAGCCTGGGGTGTTGGGGTGCTAACATGTGAGCCTGGGGTGCTGACAGGTGAGCCTGGGGTGCTGACAGGTGAGCCTGAGGTGTTAGGGTGCTGACAGGTGAGCCTGGGGTATTGGGGTGCTGACAGGTGAGCCTGGGGTGTTGGAGTGATGACAGGTGAGCCTGGAGTGCTGACAGGTGAGCCTGGGGTGCTGACAGGTGAGCCTGGGGTGCTGGGGTGCTGACAGGTGAGCCTGGGGTGCTGACAGGTGAACCTGGGGTGTTGGGGTGCTGACAGGTGAGCCTGGGGTGCTGGGGTGCTGACAGGTGAGCCTGGGGTGCTGACAGGTGAGCCTGGGGTGCTGACAGGTGAGCCTTGGGTGCTGACAAGTGAGCCTGGGGTGCTGCATTGCCGCCAGCAAATCATTCATATATTTCATAATAATTATTTTACATTCAATTTTATGAAAACAAATTAAATTGTAAACACTGGAATTATTCACTGAAAACAAACATAGGGAAGGATTAAACGTGTTGCTTGACCCAGGTAAATGTGTTCCTTGACCCAGGTAAACGTGTTGCTTGACCCAGGTAAACATGTTGCTTGACCCAGGTAAACATGTTGCTTGACCCAGGTAAACATGTTGCTTGACCCAGGTAAACGTGTTCCTTGACCCAGGTAAACATGTTGCTTGACCCAGGTAAAAATGGTTTGTTACTGTCCACATGGAGCAGAGTGATGTGATAATAAGATTATTATGACACCATGATGACGTCACAATGTTGAATACTGTTACCTCATCACCACAAAAAATATCTTTTTGGGGAAAGTAAATATAATCACATCCACCAGGGATACACAAGGTACAGTTGCAACCACTACCAAACCTGCTATATAGGTAACCATGGCTACACAAGGTACAGTTGCAACCAATACCAAATCTGCTATATAGGTAACCATGGCTGCACAAGGTACAGTTGCAACCACTACCAAACTTGCCAAATAGGTAACCATGGCTACACAAGGTACAGTTGCAACCACTACCAAACCTGCTATATAAGTGTGGGGGCACACCAACCAAGGCTACACAAGGTACAGTTGCAACCACTACCAAACCTTCTATATAAGTGTGGGGGCACACCAACCATGGCTACACAAGGTACAGTTGCAACCACTACCACACCTGCTATATAAGTGTGGGGGCACACCAACCATGGCTACACAAGGTACAGTTGCAACCACTACCAAACCTGCTGTATAGGTAACCATGGCTACACAAGGTACAGTTGCAACCACTACAAAACCTGCTATATAAGTGTGGGGGCACACCAACCATGGCTACACAAGGTACAGTTGCAACCACTACCAAACCTGCTATATAAGTGTGGGAGCACACCAACCAAGGCTACACAAGGTACAGTTGCAACCACTACCAAACCTGCTATATAGGTGTGGGGGCACATCAACCGAGGCCATACAAGCTACAGTTGCAACCACTACCAAAGCTGCTGTAGAGGTGTGGATGGGGGGACCTACTTCAACTCTTCATGCCCTTAAAAATATTGAGAATTGAATATCAGTAAATTATGACAGTGAAGTGTCACAATAAGAATTCAATGTCAGTATCAATATTATATGATACAACTGCAGACATTTTTCAGACTTGTACTATTGCTGACATCACAGTTATGTTATTTACAGAAGCTGACATCACAGTTATGTTATTTACAGAAGCTGACATCACAGTTATGTTATTTACACAAGCTGACATCATAGTTATGTTGTTTACAGAAGCTGACATCACAGTTATATCCTTTACAGAAGCTGACATCATGATTATATTGTTTACAGAATCTGACATCACACTTATGTTGTTTACAGAAGCTGACATCGCAGTTATTTTGTTTACAGAAGCTGACAACACAGTTATGTTGTTTACAGAAGCTGACATCATGATTATGTTGTTTACACAAGCTGACATCATGATTATGTTGTTTACAGAAGCTGACATCATGATTATCTTGTTTACAGAAGCTGACATCATGATTATGTTGTTTACAGAAACTGACATCACAGTTATGTTGTTTACAGAAGCTGACATCACAGTTATGTTGTTTACAGAAGCTGACAACACAGTTGTGTTGTTTACAGAAGCTGACATCGCAGTTATGTTGTTTACACAAGCTGACATCACAGTGATGTTGTTTACAGAAGCTGACATCGCAGTTATGTTGTTTACACAAGCTGACATCACAGTGATGTTGTTTTCAGAAGCTGACATCACAGTTATGTTGTATACAAAAGCTGACATCACATTTATGTTGTTTACAAAAGCTGACATCACAGTTTTGTTGTTTACAGAAGCTGACATCACAGTAATGTTGTTTACAGAAGCTGACATCACAGTTTTGTTGTTTACAGAAGCTGACATCACAGTAATGTTGTTTACAGAAGCTGACATCACAGTAATGTTGTTTACAGAAGCTGACATCACAGTAATGTTGTTTACAGAAGCTGACATCACAGTTTTGTTGTTTACAGAAGCTGACATCACAGTAATGTTGTTTACAGAAGCTGACATCACAGTAATGTTGTTTACAGAAGCTGACATCACAGTAATGTTGTTTAAAGAAGCTGACATCACAGTTTTGTTGTTTACAGAAGCTAAAATCACAGTAATGTTGTTTACAGAAGCTGACATCACAGTAATGTTGTTTACAGAAGCTGACATCACAGTTATGTTGTTTACAGAAGCTGACATCACAGTAATGTTGTTTACAGAAGCTGACATCACAGTTATGTTGTTTACAGAAGCTGACAACACAGTTATGTTGTTTACAGAAGCTGACATCACAGTAATGTTGTTTACAGAAGCTGACAACACAGTTATGTTGTTTACAGAAGCTGACAACACAGTCATGTTGTTTACAAAAGCTGACAACACAGTTATGTTGCTTACAAAAGCTAATGTAACAGTTATGTTGTTTTCAGAAGCTGACATCACAGTTATGTTGTTTACAGAATCTGACACCACAGTAATGCTGTTTACAGAAGCTGACTTGACAGTTATGCTGTTTACAGAAGCTGACTTGACAGTTATGTTGTTTACACAAACTGACATCACAGTTTTGTTGTTTACAGACACTGACATCACAATTATGTTGTTTACAAAAGCTAACATCCCATTTATGTTGTTTGCAGAAACCAAATGGATGTGTAGTCTTCAGTGGGTGTGGTACATCTGGGAGACTTGCATTTCTGACAACGGTCAGTTGGGGGTGTGTGTGTGTGTGTGCGTGCGTGCGTGCGCACCTGCCTGCATGCGCGCCTGCCTGCCTGTGTGCGTGCGTGCGTGCCTGCCTGCGTTCCTGCTTGTGTGCGTGCGCGCACGCGCGCGCCTTGTTAATTTACTCTCTTTTCTGTCTGTCTTTTCTCTGTCACTCTGTTGATGGAATAAATGATAATGTAATCTGATGGAATAAATGATGATGTCATCTGATTGAAAAAATTATGATGTCAGTTGATGGAATAAATGATAATGTCATCTTATGGAATAAATGATGATGTCATCTGATGGAATAAATGATGATTTCAGTTGATGGAATAAATGATGATGCCAAATGGAAAGTAGATTATAATGTCAGTTGATAGACCAAATGTTGATGTCATCTGATGGAATACATTGTGATGTCACTTTATAGAATAAATGAGGATGCCATCTGATGGAATAAAGGACTATGCTAGCTGGTGGAATAGATTATGATTTCAGTTTATAAAATATATGATAATGTCATCTGGTGGAATAAATGATGATGTCATCTGCTGGAATAATTATTGTCATCTGATGGAATAAATGATGATGTCATCTGATGGAATGAGTGATGATGTCATCTGATGGAATAAGTGATGATGTCACCTGATGGAATATATTATGATGTCATTTGATAGAATAAATGAGGTGCCATATGGAAAATAGATTATTATGTCAGTTTATAGAACATATGTTGATGTCATCTGATGGAATACATTGTGATGTCACTTTATAGAATAAAGGATGATGCCATTTGATGGAAAAATGGACTATGCCAGCTGCTGGAATAGATTATAATTTCAGTTTATGAAATAAATGATGCCATCTGGTGAAATAAATGATGATGTCATCTGATGGAATAAGTGATGATGTCATCTGATGGAATAAGTGATGATGTCATCTGATGGAATAAATGATGATGTCATCTGGTGGAATAAATGATGATGTCATCTGGTGGAATAAATGATGTCATCTGCTGGAATAAATGATGATGCCATCTGATGGAATAGATGATGATGGAATAAGTGATGTCATCTGATGGAACAATTATTGTCATCTAATGGAATAAATGATGATGTCATCTGATTGAATAAATTATGATGTCATTTAATGGAATAAGTGATGTCATCTGATGGAATTAGTGATGATGTCAGGTGATGGAATAATACCTCCTTAAACATTTAAATATTTAGTCTTATTGTTTCAGCGAACTTTCAACCGCTACCTCAAGTCCTTGGGAAAGGCAGAGTGCTTTCAGTACTTGATTGCTGGAGGTGATCGGTAATTTTGTAGTGCAGTGTGTGTTTGTGTGTGTGTGCACGTGCATACATGTATTTGTGTGTGCAATTGATTTGTCAAAGTTACATCTTTAATTAAAAATTCTGATAGCATACATGCAGGAGGCAGAGTGGAGAGCCTAGAACCCTTACCTCAAGCTAGTAATCACCTGTGGGATGGGGATTGAGTGCCTAGAACACTTGCCTCAAGCTAGTAAACACCTGTTGGATGGGGATGGAGTGCCTAGAACACTTGCCTCAAGCTAGTAATCACCTGTTGGATGGGGATGGAGAGCCTAGAACACTTGCCTCAAGCTAGTAATCACCTGTGGGATGGGGATGGAGTGCCTAGAACCCTTGCCTCAAGCTAGTAATCACCTGTTGGATGGGGATGGAGTGCCTAGAACCCTTGCCTCAAGCTAATAATCACCTGTGGGATGGGGATGGAGTGCCTAGAGCCCTTGCCTCAGGTTATAAGTCACCTGTAAAAGAGAGGTGGAGTGTCTACAACCCTTGCCTGAGGCTATAAATCACCTGTTGAATGGGGATAAGGTCTAGAAAGAACTCTTGCCTCATGGTAATAATCACCTGTGGTATGGGAATGGAGTGCCTAGAACCCTTGCCTCATGCTATTAATCACCTGAGAGAGGTAGGTGGAGTGCCCAGAATCCTTGCCTTAGACTATCAGTCACTTTTGGGATGGGAATGAAGTGCCTAGAACCCTTGTCTCAAGTTATAAGTCACATGTAAAAGGGAGGTGGAGTGCTAGAACCCTTGCCTCATGCTAGTAGTCACCCGAGAGAGGGAGGTGGAGTGCCTAGAACCCTTGCCTCATGCTATTAGTCACCTGAGAGAGGGAGCTGGAGTGCCTAGAACCCTTGCCTCATGCTATTAGTCACCCTAGAGAGGGAGCTGGAGTGCCTAGAACCCTTGCCTCATGCTATTAGTCACCCGAGAGAGGGAGCTGGAGTGCCTAGAACCCTTACCTCATGCTAGTAGTCACCCGAGAGAGGGAGGTGGAGTGCCTAGAACCATTATCTCATTGTAGTAATCACCTGTGGTACGGGAATGGAGTGCCTAGAACCCTTGCCTCAGGCTAGTAGTCCCCTTTGGGATGGGGATGGAATGCCTAGAACCATTATCTCATTGTTGTAATCACCTGTGGTACGGGAATATAGTGCCTAGAACCCTTGCCTTATGCTAGTAGTCACCTGGGCGCTAGAAGTATGGTGTCCGCCTTGAGTGCTAGAGGTCCTGGGTTCAAGCCCTGGTAAAGGCTGGGATTTTTTCACATGAGCTTCTAGTAATTTCCCCTGGTCTCTGGTTAGTAAGATCAGACTTCTTTTTTGCATTCTGTTTTACCGCTTCAGGTGTCGAGGGAGATATAAGGTCATGCGTCAGACTCTTTTAGCTGCTGTTGTTGTTGAGTCAAGAATTGACATCACAGCACGCGGAGCATTCCCATATGTGTTCCGTCCCCATCCTTAGCAGCCAGCACAGAGTTCAAATACTAATGGTGCCAGTCGTAGTCTAGTTGTATGTCCATCATGCCTTTCCTCTGAGGGTAGTGTGCTGGCCGAACCCTCTGGTCACACCCAGGTGCATCATTTCACTAAAAATGGCGTCGAGCACAGAGCACGTGCTCCATAGCTCCTGCGACAATTCTTATGAAATGAAAAATCCATATGATACAATTGTTATGAAGCAGGAAGTAGCCAGTCACCCTAGTAAAGCCTGCCTGCGAGGAAAGAGGCAATTGATGTCCTTATGTAGTCCACATACCTGGTGCCACCTCTCCCACTGACCAGATATCCAGTTCACGACTTACTATCCCACAGCCATTCAGCCTGTCAGCACGTAGATCCACTTTAGGATTGGTTTTTTTTAAATCAAGGTTTTCTCCTCTAGATCCATTCTGTATTGTCCCAGGACTACAAGATATTGGTTAATGAGGCTACCTTTTGAAGGATGTTCTTTTTCGGTCACGCACAACAGTCTTGACTGTCAAAAGATTTGTGTATATGTGTGCAATTGCATGTGTATGTGTTTTTGCCTAGAGTACTGGCATCTGTAACTAAACTATAGGCACCTGTGACCTACTTTCTCTAGAGCATTGTTCAAGTCCATCGAGCTGGCAGAAGATGATCCTGTAGCTGGCGCTGAAGCCCTAAAAGAGGTCATTCATGTTTTGTTTTATGTCTGTCTTCTGGTGATCTATGATTTGTTCTATGGCTGACTGCACTTCCTTTAAATATTGTTATTATTTATTAGGTAATCTATAAAACACATGGTTCTGGAAATTGTTTTATATGACTTGCATTGATTGAACTAAGTGATGTGCAGTTTATGAATCTGTGAATTAATTGATGGATAGTTCATGAATCTGTGAATTAGTTGATGGATAGTTCATGAATCTGTGAATTAATTGATGGATAGTTCATGAATCTGTGAATTAATTGATGGATAGTTCATGAATCTGTGAATTAATTGATGGATAGTTCATGAATCTGTGAATTAATTGATGTATAGTTCATGAATCTGTGAATTAGTTGATGTTCAGTTCATAAATCTGAATCTATGAATTAATTGATAAGTGAACAAATAAATTGCCACGTGTAACTAGGAAGCTCTGCACATACAAACACACACACACATGCATTCACATGCATAACGACACACATGCACGCACATGTGCACACACATGCATGAACATACACACCTGCACACACACACACACATGTATACACACACACACGCAACACAAAAGCAAATATTGAAAACAAAGTCTGTACCAGATACAAGCTGTTACCTGGCATGGAGATGTGTCTGCACAAGAACTGATCCATGCTGTTGGAGATCACATGTAGAGAGGTGTTTGCACAAAAACTGATACATGCTGTTGGAGATCACATGTAGAGAGGTGTTTGCACAAGAACTGATACATGCTGTTGGAGATCACATGTAGAGAGGTGTTTGTACAAAAACTGATGCATGCTGTTAGAGATCACATGTAGAGAGGTGTTTGCACAAGCAGTGATCTATTCTGTTTGAAATCACATGTAGAGAGGTGTTTGCGCAAGAACTGATGCATGCTGTTAGAGATCACTTGTAGAGAGGTGTTTGCGCAAGAACTGATGCATGCTGTTAGAGATCACTTGTAGAGAGGTGTTTGTACAAAAACTGATACATGCTGTTAGAGATCACATGTAGAGAGGTGTTTGTACAAAAACTGATACATGCTGTTAGAGATCACATGTAGAGAGGTGTTTGTACAACAACTGATACATGCTGTTAGAGATCACATGTAGAGAGGTGTTTGTACAAAAACTGATACATGCTGTTAGAGATCACATGTAGAGAGGTGTTTGTACAAAAACTGATACATGCTGTTAGAGATCACATGTAGAGAGGTGTTTGTACAAAAACTGATACATGCTGTTAGAGATCACATGTAGAGAGGTGTTTGTACAAAAACTGATACATGCTGTTAGAGATCACATGTAGAGAGGTGTTTGTACAAAAACTGATACATGCTGTTAGAGATCACATGTAGAGAGGTGTTTGTACAAAAACTGATACATGCTGTTAGAGATCACATGTAGAGAGGTGTTTGTACAAAAACTGATACATGCTGTTAGAGATCACATGTAGAGAGGTGTTTGTACAAAAACTGATACATGCTGTTAGAGATCACATGTAGAGAGGTGTTTGTACAAAAACTGATACATGCTGTTAGAGATCACTTGTAGAGAGGTGTTTGTACAAAAACTGATACATGCTGTTAGAGATCACATGTAGAGAGGTGTTTGTACAAAAACTGATACATGCTGTTAGAGATCACATGTAGAGAGGTGTTTGTACAAAAACTGATACATGCTGTTAGAGATCACATGTAGAGAGGTGTTTGTACAAAAACTGATACATGCTGTTAGAGATCACATGTAGAGAGGTGTTTGTACAAAAACTGATACATGCTGTTAGAGATCACTTGTAGAGAGGTGTTTGTACAAAAAACTGATACAGGCTGTTAGAGATCACATGTAGAGAGGTGTTTGTACAAAAACTGATACATGTGTTAGAGATCACATGTAGAGAGGTGTTTGTACAAAAACTGATACATGCTGTTAGAGATCACATGTAGAGAGTGTTTTGTACAAAAACTGATACATGCTGTTAGAGATCACATGTAGAGAGGTGTTTGTACAAAAACTGATACATGCTGTTAGAGATCACTTGTAGAGAGGTGTTTGTACAAAAACTGATACAGGCTGTTAGAGATCACATGTAGAGAGGTGTTTGTACAAAAACTGATACATGCTGTTAGAGATCACATGTAGAGAGGTGTTTGTACAAAAACTGATACATGCTATTAGAGATCACATGTAGAGAGGTGTTTGTACAAAAACTGATACATGCTGTTAGAGATCACATGTAGAGAGGTGTTTGTACAAAAACTGATACATGCTGTTAGAGATCACTTGTAGAGAGGTGTTTGTACAAAAACTGATACATGCTGTTAGAGATCACTTGTAGAGAGGTGTTTGTACAAAAACTGATACATGCTGTTAGAGATCACATGTAGAGAGGTGTTTGTACAAAAACTGATACATGCTGTTAGAGATCACATGTAGAGAGGTGTTTGTACAAAAACTGATACATGCTGTTAGAGATCACATGTAGAGAGGTGTTTGTACAAAAACTGATACATGCTGTTAGAGATCACATGTGGAGAGGTATGAATGCATATGCCAGTTGAAAAAGCATGAGCTGATAATGATGATGAACTAATCAACTATGACTTCGGCACATGCTATCTTTGATCACTTCTGTTTAAGGTTACCAGAGGGAGGACCCCAGTTGTGTTTGTTGGCATCACTTGTGGAATGTCCGCTCCATTTGTTGCTGGTCAGTTGGACTACTGCTTGAGCCGACTGGATGTGTTTTTGCCAGTTCTGATTGGTTTCAACTACACATATCAGGCCAGGTTAGTTCTTATCAGCCTGTTCAGTATATCATCATAAGTAACTATTAAATAGTAACAAGTCACTATCACATTGTAACAAGTCACTATCACAACTATCACATAGTAACAAGTCACTATATCATAGTACCAAGTCACTATCACATATTAACAAGTCACCATTACAACTATCTCATAGTAACAAGTCACTATCTCATAGTAACAAGTCACTATCACATGGTAACAAGTCACCATCACATGGTAAGAGGTCACCATCACATGGTAATAAGTCACTATCACATGGTAACAAGTCACCATCACATGGTAACAAGTCACCGTCACATTGCAACGTCACCATCACATTGCAACAAGTCACCATCACATTGCAACAAGTCACCATCACATTGCAACAAGTCACCATCACATTGTAGCAAGTCACTATCACAACATAACAAGTCACCATTACATTGTTAGAGGTCACAATCACATAGTAACAAGTCACCATCACATGGTAACAAGTCATCATCACATTGTAAGAGGTCACCATCACATGGTATCAAGTCACCATCACATGGTAACAAGTCACTATCATGTGGTATCAAGTCACCATCACATGGTAACTAGTCACCATCACATCATAACAAGTCACCATCACATGGTAACAGGTCACCATCACATGGTATCAAGTCACCATCACATATTAACTAGTCACCATCCCATTATAATTCGTAGATTGTTTTTATACACCTCACAGCACATTTCCTCACTTCAGTCTCTAATTCTTAGATTGTTTTTATACACCTCGCAGCACATTTCTTCACTTCAGTCTCTAATTCTTAGATTGTTTTTATACACCTGGCAGCATATTTCCTCACTTCAGTCTCTAATTCTTAGATAGTTTTTATACACCTGGCAGCATATTTCCTCACTTCAGTCTCTAATTCTTAGATTGTTTTTATACACCTGGCAGCATATTTCCTCACTTCAGTCTCTAATTCTTAGATTGTTTTTATACACCTCGCAGCATATTTCCTCACTTTAGTCTCTAATTCTTAGATTGTTTTTATACACTTGGCAGCACATTTCCTCACTTCAGTCTCTAATTCTTAGATTGTTTTTATACACCTCGCAGCATAACATTTTCTCACTTCAGTCTCTAATTCTTAGATTGATTTTATACACTTGGCAGCACATTTCCTAACTTCAGCCTCTAATTCTTAGATTGTTTTTATACACCTCGCAGCATAACATTTCCTCACTTCAGCCTCTAATTCTTAGATTGTTTTTATACACCTGGCAGCATAACATTTCCTCACTTCAGCCTTTAATTCTTAGATTGTTTTTATACACCTGGCAGCATAACATTTCCTCACTTCAGCCTCTAATTCTTAGATTGTTTTTATACACCTGGCAGCAAAACATTTCCTCACTTCAGCCTCTAATTCTTAGATTGTTTTTATACACCTGGCAGCATAACATTTTCTCACTTCAGTCTCTAATTCTTAGATTGTTTTTATACACTTGGCAGCACATTTCCTCACTTCAGCCTCTAATTCTTAGATTGTTTTTATACACCTGGCAGCATAACATTTTCTCACTTCAGTCTCTAATTCTTAGATTGTTTTTATACACTTGGCAGCACATTTCCTCACTTCAGTCTCTAATTCTTAGATTGTTTTTATACACTTGGCAGCACATTTCCTCACTTCAGTCTCTAATTCTTGAATTGTTTTTATACACCTGGCAGCATATTTACTCACTTCAGTCTCTAATTCTTAGATTGTTTTTATACACCTGGCAGCATATTTACTCACTTCAGTCTCTAATTCTTAGATTGTTTTTATACACCTCGCAGCATATTTCCTCACTTCAGTCTCTAATTCTTAGATTGTTTTTATACACTTGGCAGCACATTTCTTCACTTCAGTCTCTAATTCTTAGATTGTTTTTATACACTTGGCAGCATATTCCCTCACTTCAGTCTCTAATTCTTAGATTGTTTTTATACACCTGGCAGCATATTTCCTCACTTCAGTCTCTAATTCTTAGATTGTTTTTATACACTTGGCAGCACATTTCCTCACTTCAGTCTCTAATTCTTAGATTGTTTTTATACACTTGGCAGCACATTTCCTCACTTCAGTCTCTAATTCTTAGATTGTTTTTATACACCTGGCAGCATATTTCCTCACTTCAGTCTCTAATTCTTAGATTGTTTTTATACACCTGGCAGCACATTTCCTCACTTCAGTCTCTAATTCTTAGATTGTTTTTATACACCTGGCAGCACATTTCCTCACTTCAGTCTCTAATTCTTAGATTGTTTTTATACACCTGGCAGCATATTTCCTCACTTCAGTCTCTAATTCTTAGATTGTTTTTATACACCTGGCAGCATATTTCCTCACTTCAGTCTCTAATTCTTAGATTGTTTTTATACACCTGGCAGCATATTTCCTCACTTCAGTCTCTAATTCTTAGATTGTTTTTATACACCTGGCAGCATATTTCCTCACTTCAGTCTCTAATTCTTAGATTGTTTTTATACACTTGGCAGCACATTTCCTCACTTCAGTCTCTAATTCTTAGATTGTTTTTATACACCTGGCAGCATATTTCCTCACTTCAGTCTCTAATTCTTAGATTGTTTTTATACACCTGGCAGCATAACATTTCCTCACTTCAGCCTCTAATTCTTAGATTGTTTTTTTCCCTGTAGAGTATTGTTCTTATAGGTGGACAGCTGTTAGTGACACATGGAGAGTTATTTATGAAATGTGTACTGTTGTTTGTGATTTATGGCCAGTTGTTTGTATCATGTGTACTGTTATTTGTGAGGTGGGACAGTTGTTTGTATCATGTGTACTGTTATTTGTGAGGTGGGACAGTTGTTTGTGACATGTGGACAGTTTGTAACATGTGTACTGTTTTTGTGTTACATGTGGACCATTGGTTGTCCATCAGTTACTCATTTCTCATGCTCAAACTATACTGTTTCAGAAATACTGTCATTGAGAAATGGGACAAGACTTTTCTGCAAGGTTTGCACATGTTATGTGTCTGTTTAATTTTAAATCCTGTTATATATGTGTTTAACTTGAAATCTTATGTGTTGGAATCCTGTTGTGTATCTTAAATGCTAATTTTTAATAAATTCTCTTGGAATTCTCTTGGGTATCTGTTTATCTTGTCATCAATGTTGTGTTAGAATGCAGTTTTGTATGTTATCTTGTTGTTCTGTTAAGTGTAAATATATGTATATATATAGAGAGAGAGAGAGAGAGAGAGAGAGAGAGAGAGAGAGAGAGAGAGAGAGAGAGAGAGAGAGAGAGAGAGAGAGAGAGAGAGAGAGAGAGAGAGATACTTAAATGCCTGCAACAGTTACAGCCACAGTTGGCATTCTGATCATTCAGCTGTAGAATTCTTCTCTAGATGCCAACTCTGTATTCACACAGAGAGATGTCAGGATGACAAAAGCCACACAGGGAGATGTCAGGATGACAAAAGCCACACAGAAATGTCAGGATGACAAAAAGCCCACAGAGAGATGACAAAATGACAAAAGCCACACAGGGAGATGTCAGGATGACAAAAGCCACACAGGAAGATGTCAAGATGACAAAAGCCACACAGGGAGATGTCAGGATGACAAAAGCCACACAGGGAGATGTCAAGATGACAAAAGCCACACAGGGAGATGTCAGGATGACAAAAGCCACACAGGGAGATGTCAGGATGACAAAAGCCACACAGAGAGGTGTCAAGATGACAAAAGCCACACACAGATGTCAGAATAAAAAAATACACACACAGAAGTCAGGATGCAAAAGCCACACAGAGAGATGTCAGGATGACAGAAACCACAATGAGAGATGCCAAACTGACAAAAGCCACACACAGAGATGCCAAGATGACAAAAGCCACACAGAGAGAGATGCCAAACTGACAAAAGCCACACAGAGAGATGCCAAGATGACAAAAGTCACACAGAGAGATGCCAAGATGACAAAAGCCACACAGAGAGAAGTCAGGATGACAAAAGCCACACAGATATAATAGTAAAATACATGTAGCTATAAGTGTGGATGATTTTAAATCTGTAATTAAAATTGTTTAGAAATTAAAAATACCCCACACCATTTTTTTTTTTTAACACATGACTATCAGACCATGGGCAGGGATTCGGAATGGAAGCTTAAATGGAAGACATGGCTTCAAATTGTTTAAAGCTGCAATTAGAAAATGTCAAAAAAACAAGTGATTCAAAAATCTCAAAAAGAAATTACGAAGACAGAAACTTGGAGTGGCTTGAGAAGACACCTGTTCTTATATTACTTACTATACTGCTCCGAGTATGAACTTAAAGGACTTCCCTTAATGAATAAATGATCACTGCAATAAACAAATGGAAACATGCTAAGAGTAGATGGATCTAGACAATTTCAGGGAAGGATTAAACAATACTTCACCAGAAATGAGGTTAGCATATGAGATGTTCATATATCTTATAATGATATTCCAGATCACTTGAGGTATCCTCAAAGATGGACTACACAATATAATTACTTAAAAATATTTTAAAGCATACTTTACATATACTGAACTGATCAAATCTAGTATCAATTATTGATGTAGAAAACTTGCTAGATATCATAATCAATACCTGGATGGGTTGAACATGTTTTTGTTTTTTGTTTTTTTTTAAATACTACTGCTATCATCTGATTTTATAACATAAATTGTTTTAGTTGTTCAAGAAATGGAGAAAGCAGAGAATTTATTACAAGCATTCATCCTGAATCCAGTAATTGGGGTTTGTATAGATATGGCCAGATAATTAACTTATTTCATTATGTGTGTAAATATATATAATATTTTCAACATATCTTTGTGAGAATACTTTGTCTCAAATGTTGGAGTATCAGAAATTACCATAATGATGAGTTGCTGTGAGGTGATCGGTAATTTTTTGACACCTTAAAACTGGTTTGATACTATTCTTATGATAACCGAGTGAGCCCACAGAACTATTACATGAGGTAACCAGATTGTTCTATTACCAGCTTACTACCAACACTGTTGACCTACTTACTGTTAACACTGGTGACCTACTTACTGTCAACACTACTGTGCTACTTATTGTCAACACTGGTGACCTACAAGGACACTATTCAGCTGGTGTTTTCATTTAGAGACATAGAACCTGGTGAGGAATGGGCACAAGTGCCAACATAGTGCTGTACAACTTTTTTTTTTTTTTTGCATTCATCTAAACAGAAAATGCAGACAAGAAAGTAGCCACTGTTGAGGCAGAAGTGCAGGCTTTGATTTTAGAGAATGCTCTACTGGGAGATGCTGTCATTTACACAGAAGGGTCTGTAATTTGTCATGTGAGAAGCTCTTGGGCATTTACCACCCAGGATGGAGTTAGAATCGTGAAGCAGGATTCTATTGCCTTGACCATAAGTAGTCTAACTCTGGAGGTCATGGCAGTGACCGAAGCAATAACATGGCTGGAGACTCAGGACAGTGAGTATGCTCAGGAAGATAGAGATGGGCTGTGCTCAAAACATTGGTTGGAGTCTCTAAAGTAGTCAGGGCTGACACATATCTGTTTCATATTTGTGCCAGGGTACGCAGGCATGCAGGGAAATTAGCAAGCTGATATGCTTGCAGGTAAAGCTACTGTGGAGGATGGATGAGCCAAGGATCCTGCTGATATTCTCAATGCCCTATGATAAGTAAGACATTTGCCAGAACCAAGTTATGACTGTGAATCAGCAAGCATGACCAGACTGCAAGAACAACATGTTGAAAGGGATGTCGCCAGACAAGAGCACTATGCAGAAGCCAAAGAAGAATATAAAACCAACACAGAATTGGTCTGGTAAGCCGCTACACGCTGTGGGATTTACTAAGGAGGGGATCTGAGCACAAATGGTTTGATGAAGTTCAACAAATGATTCATGACAACTCCCGCCCAAGTGATGTGATTACAGATGACTCTTTGTTAAGGGGTAGACGAAGTGCACAGGGGTTTGTCGCTTAGTACAGCAAAGCCCTGCAAATGATATCACAACGTCTAGTTTGAGAATGGAGGTGGAGGCAGTCTCTGCTGCCTTCCGTTGGCTTGAGAATTAGCTGTACACATATACCCTGATTGTAACTGACTCACAGAGCATGCTCAGAAAGGTGAAAACAGGCCTGCTTTATGCAGAGTGGCAAGCATCGCTTCAGATGTCCCGAGTTGTTGGCATCCTGTAGATATTTTCTCCAGGTCTTGCCATGTGTGTTGGGAAATGAGCAGGCAGATAGGCTGGCCGATTATGCACCACTTGGTGGTGAATTGATGTATGACAAGCTTGATATTGTGAGGGCCATTTGGAAATGAGTGAAAAGTGCGGAGGCACAGATCAATCAAAACGGTCTGAGGAGAATGGCGCTGCAAGGAGTTACCAGAGGATCTACACTCAGGAGACGGATATACAGTCAGATGGTTACTGGTGCCATTGGAATTGGAACTCATTGCTTACTGCTGAAGATGGGGATGGGGCACTTATGGGAGTGCTCCGAGTGCTGTGATATCAATTCTCAATTGAGCATTCAGCATGCTTTGATGTGCTTGAGGATGATCTGTCCACTAACTAACTGTTGGACTATTTACTGCCAACACTGATGACCTACTTACTGCCAACACTGATGACCTACTTGACACTTCAGGCCTGCTAACTGTTAACACTACTGAACTGTTTACTTTCAGTACTACTGACCTACTTATAGTCAACATTAGTGACCTACTAAATGCCAACCTGCTTGCTTACATTTAGTGCCAACACTAGTAACCTACTTAATGTCAACCTATTTACCTACTTACTGTTAACACTTCTGACCTACTTACTGTTGGTACTAGTGACCTACTTACTGTCAGCACTACTGACCTACTGCTAGTCCATAGTAGTGACCCACTCATTGTCAACACTGACATAATATATCTAGTAATCTGGTACCAGAAATGTCATGTCAGGGTTGACAATAAGTGGGTCACTACTATGGACAGGGAGTAGATAACATTGACATGACAGATAACATTGACATGACAGATAACATTGACATGACAGATACCACTGACATTTGACTCCCAGAGGAAAAAAAAACCAATCTTGCCATTTGTGATGTCATCTTGACATTTGTGATGTTGTTCTCACACAGCCAGAGCCAATCACTGGATCTTCCCGCATGAAGTCAGGAACCACAACTAGGATCTTATTGGATGTTTTATCTGTGGTTGCTGCCCTTGACTACCCACATTACATGTAAGTTTGTGCCATCAGTCCCAAGTAGTCACATTACATGTAATCTGAGTGGTTAGTCACATTACATGTAAGCTTAACCCTACCAGACCTGAAGCCCTAAACCTAACTGCCCCCTATACCTGAGCTCCTGGGCATTATTGCAAAAATTCCAACATGATATACAAAAATATTAGTTAATTGCAAACAAGTGGCTAGAAAAAAATGAACCTTGGAGACATTGTAGAAAATAGGTTTACATTTTATCTAGCGCCAATATTCCACCTTTGTGTGCCAATCTACCCATCAGGATCAACTTTGTTTCACAAAGTAAAACACCAGATGTTGCTGTTTTAGGGACACGCCCCTTTCTCCTACTATCGATCTATTTCTATATTTATAATTTTCAAGATTCTCCTCATCATTCGAGCTCTCACTGACTGTCACTTCAACTGGGAACGTATTCTTCATGAAATGATGACTTCACAGAGTCTGAATCAACCAAAGATCACCTGTTAGACTGTGACAAGGCTAGACTTACTTGACTTTCCTGTCCAAGTGCTTGGTTCATCAGCTGATCGTTTCATTGGGAATTTTCAGAATTTTTCACGTTAAACCACCAAAAATAAATCCAAACACATGTGGGCAGCCATTCACAGTGACTATGTGGTTTGATCACAATTGGTTGGTTATTTTCAGTTTGTGATGTGTTTTATCACATAGTATGCAAATTCCTGAAAAATCGGGACAACGGTATAGTGGCAAGTTAGAAAATTACTGCAGTAGCAGGACATCACCCTGGTAGAGCTAATGGTCAGTCACAGTACATGTTAGTTGAGTGGTCAGTCACAGTACATGTTAGCTGAGTGGTCAGTCACAGTACATGTTAGCTGAGTGGTCAGTCACACTACATGTTATTTGAGTGGTCAGTCACAGTACATGTTAGTTGAGTGGTCAGTCACACTACATGTTAGTTGAGTGGTCAGTCACATTACATGTTAGTTGAGTGGTCAGTCACAGTACATGTTAGCTGAGTGGTCAGTCACACTACATGTTAGTTGAGTGGTCAGTCACACTACATGTTAGCTGAGTGGTCAGTCACACTACATGTTAGTTGAGTGGTCAGTCACACTACATGTTAGCTGAGTGGTCAGTCACACTACATGTTAGTTGAGTGGTCAGTCACACTACATGTTATTTGAGTGGTCAGTCACACTACATGTTAGCTGAGTGGTCAGTCACACTACATGTTGGCTGAGTGGTCAGTCACACTACATGTTAGTTGAGTGGTCAGTCACACTACATGTTAGTTGAGTGGTCAGTCACATTACATGTTAGCTGAGTGGTCAGTCACACTACATGTTAGTTGAGTGGTCAGTCACAGAGAAAAACTTCATCTGACACACTAACCAGTCTTCAGGTGCATATTGGAGATAAAGGTGGGTATGCAAGCTTGTGCAAGTCACATCCATGGCTGCTGGCTGCACAGGCCCTACCTTGTGATAGGCTGAAACAAGTGATTCAATAGGTAGAGTACTATCTTACCCTGAAACAAGTCATTCACTAGGTAGAGTACTATCTTACCCTGAAACAAGTGATTCAATAGGTAGAGTACTATCTTACTCTGAAACAAGTGATTCACTAGGTAGAGTACTATCTTATCCTGAAACAAGTGATTCAATAGGTAAAGTACTATCTTACTCTGAAACAAGTGATTCACTAGGTAGAGTACTATCTTATCCTGAAACAAGTGATTCAATAGGTAGAGTACTATCTTACCCTGAAACAAGTCATTCACTAGGTAGAGTACTATCTTACCCTGAAACAAGTGATTCAATAGGTAGAGTACTATATTACTCTGAAACAAGTGATTCACTAGGTAGAGTACTATCTTATCCTGAAACAAGTGATTCAATAGGTAAAGTACTATCTTACCCTAAAACAAGTGATTCAATAGGTAGAGTACTATCTTACCCTAAAACAAGTGATTCAATAGGTAGAGTACTATCTTATCCTGAAACAAGTGATTCACTAGGTAGAGTACTATCTTATCCTGAAACAAGTGATTCAATCGGTAGAGAACTATCTTACCCTGAAACAAGTGATTCAATAGGTAGAGTACTATCTTACCCTGAAACAAGTGATTCAATAGGTAGAGTACTATCTTATCCTGAAACAAGTGATTCAATCGGTAGAGAACTATCTTACCCTGAAACAAGTGATTCAATAGGTAGAGTACTATCTTACCCTGAAACAAATGATTCAATAGGTAGAGTACTATCTTACCCTGAAACAAGTGATTCAATAGGTAGAGTACTATCTTACCCTGAAACAAGCGATTCACTAGGTAGAGTAGTATCTTACCCTGAAACAAGCGATTCACTAGGTAGAGTACTATCTTACCCTGAAACAAGTGATTCACTAGGTAGTGTACTATCTTACCTTGAAACAATTGATTCACTAGGTAGAGTACTATCTCACCCTGAAACAAGCGATTCACTAGGTAGAGTAGTATCTTACCCTGAAACAAGCGATTCACTAGGTAGAGTACTATCTTACCCTGAAACAAGTGATTCAATAGGTAGAGTAGTATCTTACCCTGAAACAAGCGATTCACTAGGTAGAGTACTATCTTACCCTGAAACAAGTGATTCACTAGGTAGTGTACTATCTTACCTTGAAACAAGTGATTCAGTAGGTAGAGTACTGTCCATTACCTCTCTTGCAACTAGACAGATAATTTAGCTCTCTTGCCATGAGACAGGTAATCTTTCAATATGTAAAATTATCACCCTAAATGACAGTCAGCGTCACATTTCCTGCAGATTTCTGTACTGCCAACTTGAGACATCCAAAGTCATGTGCAGTGTATTGGTTGTGTGCATTATTCAAATTCACTACAGAAAAACATTGTTTTGAATTTTCAAAAAGTCACGTCTCACCATCAGCAATAAAGTCACTGGGTGGATTATTCAGACTGAAATTTAAAATCATGTTACAGGATTACAAGGTACGGTTTCCGAAGTGTGGCCAACTGATGTGAGACTATACACTTTATAGTGAGTGTGTTGGTTTGAATCTTTACACTGCACCCCCACATGAGAAAATGGACTAATATTTCACCTATGTTGATTCCAGACACATGAGAAAATGGACTAATCTCTCAGCTATGTTGATTCCAGACACATGAGAAAATGGACTAATCTCTCAGCTATGTTGATTCCAGACACAATCCTGGATAGCCAAGAAAACAGCAAAAGTGGCTCGTACAATAAAGTGAAAGTTGCTGTACTTGTATCCACAGGAGTAGGAAAAGGAATATTTAGATATCAAGATGAATCCAATGAGATAATATCCAGATACACAGTTAACTCCTCCAGCTTTCTCCTCTCCTGGTATTTATAACAAAAGCCCCCATCAAGTGATTTACATATTTGTGAGCTGAGGGAAACTAGTATGCACAAAGACACTTGAACCTAATGAGACAATTTACTGAACTATTAGTTTAGAACTTGACATCAAGTTTATTAATTTGATCTAAAGCCCACACACAAAATAAAACGGTATTGGATTATGATGTTGCAATCAAGAATCTGATTCTATGATGATAATGCATCAGTCCATGAATTTGATAGGCATATGAGAGTGAAGAGGTTTTTATGGTGATAATTCTTATTATCAAGAATAAAAGTTTTACATAAACTTATGAAACAAATGGAGAAAATAAACCTCTGGCAGTTCTCAGTTTGAGTCCCAGTCTATCTTTGTCCAGTTTGTCATCCTTGCTGCTTCAGGCTAGTCATTAAACTCAGACTGTCTCCAAAGAATAGATGCTGACTAGTCTCTGCCCAGTGTGGAAACTGTGATAAAGAAACAAGTGCATATGTGTAGTATCTAGACTTACACTTGACATGCCTATTCTGATAAAAACATTTAATCTCTCCCTCATATTCTCATTCTCTCCTGTCCAATCTGGAAGGACTTCATCTCACATTGTAGCTGTTACATTTCCTGCCTTCCTCTACCTATGTCCAATCTGGAAGGACTTCATCTCACATTGTAGTTGTTACATTTCCTGCCTTCCTCTACCTATGTCCAATCTGGAAGGACTTCATCTCACATTGTAGTTGTTACATTTCCTGCCTTCCTCTACCTATGTCCAATCTGGAAGGACTTCATCTCACATTGTAGTTGTTACATCTCCTGCCTTCCTCTACCTATGTCCAATCTGGAAGGACTTCATCTCACATTGTAGTTGTTACATTTCCTGCCTTCCTCTACCTATGTCCAATCTGGAAGGACTTCATCTCACATTGTAGTTGTTACATTTCCTGCCTTCCTCTACCTATGTCCAATCTGGAAGGACTTCATCTCACATTGTAGTTGTTACATTTCCTGCCTTCCTCTATTCATGACCTGTAATGATAGTTGTGTCCTCTAAGTCTGATGCTGTCTCTCGGTCAAACTCAAAATTGACATTCAGTTTGACAGAACAAGTTCTGGAATTAATGCCTAAAATAATGTAAACCCCCAGAATGATAACAATATTTCTGGGGCAATATCAAATCTAAATTCTCCTTGTTTCACTCTCAGGGGTCAGTCTCTGGCATTAGCCTCCTGGAAGTTAAATACATTTCAGTGTATTAGCTGGATGTAAGATAGATTCAAAATAACCACACATAAAGAGACTTCATAAAACTGATAGTTCATTAAATTTCAGTGGTAAAATCAGTATTCAAGTTATACAACATTGAAACACATGTACATTGAAAACATACATGACAATATCTATTAAGATATATATCAATTTGACAGTGCTCTACTAGAATGGAGAAATGTCCACTAAGTAGTACTATAAAGTAATAAAGCCACACTTGAGCAAAGAGACAACTGAGATTTTTATCACAAAATAAAGGTAGAAATAGTTTCACTTACCTGGAAAATGAAAACACAATGCCAAAAGTTCTGTCTCAAGCTTATGGTTCAAGTCCAACAGATGGTGTGCTGATGGCATGTGATGATAGCAAAGTCTCATTTTCCAGACCTATGGTGCCCACTTTTGTAAACTCTCCTAAGCTCCTCCTAGATTACATCTCCTAAACCTCTCTCATTCAAGGTAAGTCTATTCACTGTCAGTCAGGACTGCATAGAATGTATTTGCCAACACTGGGTTACATTCCCATGGTCTATCAAGCTGGCTAGAGCTCATAAGAAAAATCACACCTTTCTCCCCATCTTCAATCTGCCAGGTTCTGTCTGCTAACACTTTCATCAGAACAGTGTAAATACTAGCCATTTGACCTGCACGCAAGTGGAGTGATCTCAAGGGGAGGTAATCACAATTAGCCTGAGTTTGGCTAGGAGTTAATTATCTGACACCTCAGTTCTAGAAGAAAACCTCCAACTGCTATGTCTGAGCTTTCCACTTCACTGGGGCCACTAAGTCTACCTGCTCAGTCTTATCTGTACTTTAACAATTTACCTCTGGGCAAGAGTCTGAGTGTTTGATATCAACTGCAGTCCAGGGAAATTAAATAGCTTCGTTCTGGATGACCTTAAGTTCGGTTATATCCAGGAGCATATTCCCCTCTCTAACTTTAAATACATTTAAAAAAATTAAGTTGGGGAAAGACAGGTTCTGAAGTCAAAAGTGTGAAGGAATGCCTTCATATGAGGTTATGCGAGGAATAGCGTATCCTAGAGAATTCATATGATCTGTGTATTTTAGTGGAATGTTTTATATAGATATGATTTGTGTATTTTAGTGGAATGTTTTATATACATATGATTTGTGTATTTTAGTGGAATGTTTTATATACATATGATTTGTGTATTTTAGTGGAATGTTTTATATAGATATGATTTGTGTATTTTAGTGGAATGTATTATATACATATGATCTGTGTATTTTAGTGGAATGTTTTATATACATATGATTTGTGTATTTTAGTGGAATGTTTTATATAGATATGATTTGTGTATTTTAGTGGAATGAATTATATACATATGATTTGTGTATTTTAGTGGAATGTTTTATATACATACTAGCTGTACCCGGCCACGCGTTGCTGTGGCATAGTTTGGCTCAATGGAAATGAAAGAAAATAGAAATCGCACGTGTCTAATACAATCATTGTCTGCTCAGATATAGAGATAGTCTTTGATCCCGCCCCCCCCCCCCCCCCCCCCCCACCACAACTAAATCCACCTACTACTCTCTCCCTCATCAAAGGTTTTTGGAAAAGAAAGACAATGGAAATCGCACGTGTCTAATATAGTTAATGTCGCAATCATTCTCTGCACAGATATAGAGATAGTCTGGTTTTCCAACTTTAGAACACGCACCTTATAATTGTGTCTTTATATTAGTGGTCGTTTAAATGGTGTTATTAGCACAGTAACAAAAATGGTTATTTGGTTATCACATGCTAAAGCTGTTTGTATTTTTATAGGGGACGGAAGTAAAGCTACAACTGTACTTGTGAATAACAAAGTAAGTCGTAAAAAATAGAAAAGCGGAGGTAGCATTAGTAAAATATAAACAAATTAGGTAATGAGAACTTGAAAATCACGTGTAAAGCTCTTTAAGTTCTCTTAAATTTAAGTCATTACCCCCTCCCCTCCCCTCTTCCACCGACTTCTGCTCTCTCCTTCTTCGAAGGATTTGAAAATCACTACCTGGCGATATTTTGTTGTTGCTGTAACTGACATTGACATCCCTGTCCATCTGGACTAAAATGGGGAGCAGGAATTGTAATAGGTAGTGAATGGGGCTAGTGTAATATTTACCACATCATCCTTCAAGTACCAGTACAACTACTAAAATAATGTCACTGCTATCTGTGTTACCATCGGAGTAGACAGAGAGTCGTGAGCCAGAAGATTTGGTTCCTCATGGCTAGTGCTGTCGCCACAGACTGGTCAGGTTAGGATGTATAATTTCACTTGCCGACAGAAGAACGCCATAACCTTACCGGCGGTCTTCACATGAGAGCACTATGGTGTAACAGCCCAACCACAACTACTACTGCTGCTGCTACTTTAAGTGGGTAAAGCAGTTACTGTGACTTAAAGCTCTCTCAGTTAACAGTTTGCCCCCCCTCCCCCCCCCCCCCCCCCCCCCCCCCCCCCCCCAAATTCACAGACAACTTTCCCTCATTAAAGTAGTTGGGAGGAAAAAAAAACCACTTGAAAAGCAAATGAACACAGGAAGAAAACACCATAATTAGGAAATGAACGCCATGGTAAACAGCACAGCTTAAAATTCCAACGCAGATGAAATAACTAAATCTAAATGAAAAAAAATGAAAATCTATGAGATTTCAGCGTAACCATGCAATCGGAAAGTTTAGAAATGCAATCATAAGTATGCAAAATGGTCAAATTTAATTATCAAATGGTTTACCCATTTACTTGTCTTTTTTTTTTTTTAAATATTAAGGGAACATGGCTAGTGCTGTCACCACGACAGAGCAGATGAGGATATTATTTTAGTCCGGGGTAAAAAAAAAATGAACTACTGCGGATTCGAACCCAGGTCTCCCGCACAGGAACCCAGTGTTCTAACCATTCGACCAAGCAGCCACTTTATCGGATCAACGAAAAGAGAACTTAACCATTAGAGATGTGTGTCCCTTCTACTGTGTCCCGATTAAAACACAATTCAAAACCGCAGGCAATTGTTTTCTCGTAGACAGTTACTCCAGATATATTAATGAAACGGCACAACAATAGAAATCGCACGTGTCTAACACGGTTAATGAAGTTAATGTCGCAGTCACTGTCTGCGCCGACGTCGAGATAGTCCTAGCCCCCCCCCCCCTCCCCCCCCCTCCCATCGAAGGTTGTTTGGAAAAAAAAAAAACAGAGAATAGAAATCGTGTTTAATATGGTTATTGTGGCAAATATAGAGATAGTCTTGTTTGCTGTACCACGACCTACTCTATGTATTAGAGAAGGCGTTGGCTGCACGTAACTCACCGGCGAATGGCGGAAGCCTTGCGTTCTGACTACCGCGCATGCGCAATTACTAACGTGGCTATAATTAGAAATCACAAAAATTATAAATATTAGTTTCGAATATTATGGCTTAAATTGTGGTCACCTATCTCTAACAGTGACAGGTTGAATTTCAAACCATGATGTTTCAACATCCGTTATTAAAACAAACATATCCTGAAAATTTCAGCTAAATCGGTTCAGTAGTTTCCGAGTCTATAAGGGGCAAACAAACACACAAACATTGATTTTTATATATATAGATGATTTGTGTATTTTAGTGGAATGTTTTATATACATATGATCATAGTATTTTAGTGGAATGTTTTATATACATATGATCATAGTATTTTAGTGGAATGTTTTATATACAAATGATCATAGTATTTTAGTGGAATGTTTTATATACATATGATTTGTGTATTTTAGTGGAATGTATTCAGTTTTCTTGCTATTTTATTTGTAAATGTCCCTCTTGGTAGTTATTCTGAGAAGATACAGTAAAATAACACAGCAAATAATACACAGTAAATTGTGCAATGTATTGTTTGTATCCTCATTATATCAGTTTGAAATGGGAAAACATTCTTCTCAACTAACAGATGTTATAATTGTGGCACCCATTGGTAGCACCTGTCTGTAGCACCTGTCCAACATGTGCCACTTAAAAGATGCTATACCTGCAGCACCTTTCTGTAAAGTGATGTACTTATAGCTGCTCTGTAAGATGCTGGGAACCACCATCAGCCAACTCTGCTTTGCTGTACTTGCAGGATTGCCCAACTGGTGAACCTTTATGAAGCTGCCTGTCACAGTGTCTATAAGGCCCAGCCACAGCTGGTGTGTCTAATACAGCTGGCAGCTTCCTGGTGATGTCTAAGTCTGTTATGTCTGTTGTAATGTCTGTCTCTTGTTGTCATCTCTGTCGTCGGTATCAGCTGTGTGGGTCATGTTTTTGTCTCATGATCTGCTAGCAGTTTTTCCCTATTGCAACCTGCATTAGTAATGTCTGCCTGCTCTGTGGCTGCATAGTCTGTTAGTAATGTCTGTATGTTGGTTATGTCTGCCTGTTGTCAGTATGATAAGAGCACAGGGAATAAAGTGAAAGAAAAGACATAAATAGAGAGATGTGGAGGAAGTAAAAAGATTCTTAAAAACATAAAGAAGCTTGTCGACTGGTGTAGGTGATCATGTTTCAGCACAAGCTACAAGCTCCAACAGATTTTGCAGATTTCTGACAGTTCCATGGTTGACTGCTCCATGACTGAATGTTCCATGGTTGACTGCTCCTTGACTAAATGTTCCACGGCTGAATGTTCCATGGCTGAATGTTCCATGGTTGACTGTTCCATAGTTGAATGTTCCATGACTGAATGTTCCATGATTGACTGTTCCATGACTGAATGTTCCATAGTTGACTGTTCCATGACTGAATGTTCCATAACTGACTGTTCAGGGACATGTCAGTAACATGAAATCTTCAGGGCCATGACATCTCCTGTCAAGAACACTAAAATGACATCTGTGTATATTTATGTTCTCTGTGTAGTTTGTTGAGTGGAGGCCATGTGTACTACATTGGCAGGGAAGGCCCTGGGCTCACAGCCATGATTGATGCCTCTGAGTGTCTGCCCACCTTTGGAGCATGTAAATATGACATTTTCTTTCTGTTGCTTTTGTTGTCTTGCTGTTGCTCTTCTTGTTATTTCTGCTGTTGTTTTTCTTATTGCCGCTGCAGTTGTTGTTATTTCTGCAGTTGTTCTTGTTGGTGCTGCAGTTGTTGTTGTTATTTCTGCAGTTGTTCTTGTTGGTGCTGCAGTTGTTGTTATTTCTGCAGTTGTTCTTGTTGGTGCTACAGTTGTTGTTATTTCTGCAGTTGTTCTTGTTGGTGCTGCAGTTGTTGCTGCTATTTCTGCTGTTGTTGTTCTTGTTGTTGCTGTTATTTCTGCTGCTGCTGTTTTTGTTGCTGCTGAAGTTCTTGCTCTTGTTGTTCTTTTTGCTGCTGCAGTTGTTGCTGCTGCTGCCAGACATCCGTCAGACATGGTGAATCAGCCTAACAGGCAGCTGAGGTTTCACAGGCAGAGAAAAGGAGGCAGGCTAAAAAGAACCGTATTGCAGCTTCCACCTATTGTCCGCACAGCTCAAGAACTTTTCAGGCTCATATTGGACTAATCAGCCACCTTTGTACTCATAATTGTTGATCGCTACTACTTTTGATGAAAAGTTGTCTTCATCAATCGTGATAGACGAACAATAACAGTCAGACACACAAACATAAAGTCAGACACATAGTCTCTCATTTACACATATTCACATACATAAAGTTGCATACTCATACATAAAATCAAATACACACATGTCACAGACACATAAAGTCACATACATACACATAGTCACAAACACACATAAGGTTACACACACAAAAACTCACACATACTCATAAAGTCACACATACTCATAAAGTCACACAAACTCATAAAGTCACACATACTCATATAGTCACACATAGTCATAAAGTCAAACATACTCATATAGTCACACATACTCATAAAGTCACACATACTCATATAGTCACACATGCTCATAAAGTCACACATGCTCATAAAGTCACACATACTCATAAAGTCACACATACTCATAAAGTCACACATACTCATTAAGTCACACATACTCATATAGTCACACATACTCATAAAGTCAAACATACTCATATAGTCACACATACTCATAAAGTCACACATACTCATAAAGTCACACATACTCATAAAGTCACACATACTCATAAAGTCACACATAGTCATACAGTCACACATACTCATATAGTCACACATACTCATAAAGTCACACATACTCATATAGTCACACATACTCATAAAGTCAAACATACTCATATAGTCACACATACTCATAAAGTCACACATACTCATATAGTCACACATACTCATAAAGTCACACATACTCATAAAGTCACACATACTCATAAAGTCACACATACCCATAAAGTCACACACACACATGCACACATGAAGTCAAACAGACACATATCAAGTTACACACCTACACACAAAGTCACATACACAAACATAAAGTTACATATAAACACACATAAAGTCACACACTCTCATAAAGTCACATACACACATAAAGTCACATACATACATAAAGGCAAACCGACACACATAAAGTCACATGTGTGTGTGAGGCCACATAAATACATACATATACAGTCATGAAGACACATAAAGTCACCTACACACACATTATTATGAATTGGGGTTACTCACTGTCTCAAAGAGTCAGCTGAAGAAACTGGAGCGCATACAGAATGAAGTTATGTGGGTGATCATGGGATGTACAAGAGGCAACCCGAATGTGTGCATGCGATACATCCTCGCATTGCCGACTATTGCAGATAAGTCTAGGTCATACCTCTTAGTAGCTGCAGACAAAAAACACCCTTTGTATGAAGCTTTGGCTGCAGGTAAGAGGTCAGATGCTGAAAAGGGGAAAATCGTGGATGTCTCAAGCAGAAGACACAATAAGACAAGTATGCATACTGGAGAACATTAGGCAAGGAGAGGAGTGGGTCAGAGTACCAGAGGTAAAGTCTGACCTTTGTAGGGTTATGATCACATTGGGCTGGAAGTGCAGAGAGCGTCAAGAAGGAGGTGGAAGTCCAACAGTTGATCCACGATAATTCAAGCCCAGGTGATCTTATTATCTATGCAGTTGGTTCGGTGTTGAGAGGAAAGAGAAGTGTCTGGGGGTTCATAGCAAAAGCCTGTGGAAAATCTTTACTGCAAGACAGCCTAACATACGACACCACAACATCTTGCATGAGAATGGAGGTGGAGGCAGTAACTGCAGCTCTCCGGTGGCTAGAGAACAAGATGCATACACATGTCATAAGTGTAACAGACTCTGAAAGCATGCTGAGAAAGGTGAAGACAGGGATGCTTAGAACAGAGTGGCAAGCTTCACTGGGAAGGTCACGGGTAATGAGCATACTTTAGATCTTTTCAAATCCTTCAGAGAGGGAGAGATAGATTTAGTCGGTGGATTTAAGGGGGGGGGGGGGGGGGGGACTGAGACAACTCAACACATGATCTAGGTATGTTTCTGCTATGGACAGTGTGTTTAGATATGTTCATGTTCTGAACAGTGAGTCTAGGTATGTTTCTGTTGTTGATGGTGTGTCAGATATGTTAATGTTGTGTTTGGATATATTTATGTTGTAAACATGTGTCTGGATATGTTTATGTTGTGGATATTGCATCTTGATGTGTTGATATTGTAAACAGTGTGTCTGGATATGTTCATACTGTAAACAGTGTGTCTGGGTATGTTCATATTGTAAACAGTGTGTCTGGATATGTTCATGTTGTAAACAGTGTGTCTGGATATGTTCATGTTGTAAACAGTGTGTCTGGGTATGTTCATATTGTAAACAGTGTGTCTGGATATGTTCATGTTGTAAACAGTGTGTCTGGATATGTTCATATTGTAAACAGTGTGTCTGGATATGTTCATGTTGTAAACAGTGTGGCTGGATATGTTCATGTTGTAAACAGTGTGTCTGGATATGTTCATGTTGTGAACAGTGTTCTGGATAAATTGTGTGTGTCTGGATATGTTCATATGTAAACAGTGTGTCTGGGTATGTTCATACAGTGTGTCTGAGTATGTTCATGTTGTAACAGTGTGGTGGGATACATGTTGTGTGTCTGGATATGTTTCATGTTGTGAACAGTCATATTGTAAACAGTGTGTCTGGATATGTTCAGATTGTAAACAGTGTGTCTGGGTATGTTCATGTTGTAAACAGTGTGTCTGGATCTGTTCATATTGTAAACAGTGTGTCTGGATATGTTCATATTGTAAACAGTGTGTCTGAGTATGTTCATACCATAAACAGTGTGTCTGAGTATGTTCATGTTGTAAACAGTATGTCTGGGTATGTTCATATTGTAAACAATGGGTCTGGGTATGTTCATGTTGTAAACAGTGTGTCTGGATATGTTCATATTGTAAACAGTGTGTCTGGGTATGTTCATATCGTAAACAGTGTGTCTGAGTATGTTCATGTTGTAAACAGTATGTCTGGGTATGTTCATATTGTAAACAATGGGTCTGGATATGTTTATATTGTAAACAGTGTGTCTGGGTATGTTCATATTGTGAACAGTGAGTCTGGATATGTTAATGTTGTAAACAGTGAGTCTGGATATGTTCATGTTGTAAACAGTGTGTCTGGATATGTTCATGTTGTAAACAGTGTGTCTGGATATGTTCATGTTGTAAACAGTGTGTCTGGATATGTTCATGTTAGGAACAGTGTTTGGGTATGTTCATGTTGTAAACATGTGTCTGGATATGTTTATGTTGTGGATATTGCATCTTGATGTGTTGATATTGTAAACAGTGTGTCTGGATATGTTCATACTGTAAACAGTGTGTCTGGGTATGTTCATATTGTAAACAGTGTGTCTGGATATGTTCATGTTGTAAACAGTGTGTCTGGATATGTTCATGTTGTAAACAGTGTGTCTGGATATGTTCATATTGTAAACAGTGTGTCTGAGTATGTTCATATCATAAACAGTGTGTCTGAGTATGTTCATGTTGTAAACAGTATGTCTGGGTATGTTCATATTGTAAACAATGGGTCTGGGTATGTTCATGTTGTAAACAGTGTGTCTGGATATGTTCATATTGTAAACAGTGTGTCTGGATATGTTCATATCGTAAACAGTGTAATGTTCAGTTGTAAACAGTGTCTGGGTATGATATTGTTCATGGGTCTGTATATGTTTAAAACAGTGTGTCTGGGTATGTTCATATTGTGAACAGTGAGTCTGGATATGTTAATGTTGTAAACAGTGAGTCTGGATATGTTCATGTTGTAAACAGTGTGTCTGGATATGTTCATGTTGTAAACAGTGTGTCTGGATATGTTCATGTTGTAAACAGTGTGTCTGGATATGTTCATGTTGTAAACAGTGTGTCTGGATATGTTCATGTTGTAAACAGTGTGTCTGGATGTTCATGTTTGTAAACAGTGTGTCATATGTGTTGTAAACAGTGTGTCTGGATATGTTCATGTTGTAAACAGTGTGTCTGGATATGTTCATATTGTAAACAGTGTGTCTGGATATGTTCATGTTGTAAACAGTGTGTCTGGATGTGTTCATATTGTAAACAGTGTGTCTGGGTATGTTCATATTGTGAACAGTGTGTCTGGATATGTTCATGTTGTAAACAGTGTGTCTGGATGTGTTCATGTTGTAAACATTGTGTCTGGATTTGTTCATCTTGTAAACAGTGTGTCTGGATATGTTCATGTTGTGAACAGTGTGTCTGGGTATGTTCATATTGTAAACAGTGTGTCTGGATATGTTCATGTTGTAAACAGTGTGTCTGGATATGTTCATATTGTAAACAGTGTGTCCGGATATGTTCATGTTGGGAACAGTGTGTCTGGATATGTTCATGTTGTTTACAGTGTGTCAGATATGATAATGTTGTGTCTGGATATGTTCATGTTATGGAAAGTTTGTTGCATATGTTCATGTTATGGAAAGTTTGTTGGATATGTTCATGTTATAAAAAGTGTGTGGCCATGTTGCCAAATTAAGCAAAATTGGTGTTTTCCTTAGTGTACTGTCATATTTTTTTCTTAGCATTCAATGATATTCGAGGCTTTGTTGATGGTGGATATAATCAACTTGACAACAATGAGGGAGACCTGTCTCACCTGGTAGGTATTAACTGGCTTATCTAGTGACTATGACCTGCCTAACCTAGTAGTTGTTGCATTGCTTTTACTTTACCTGTCTCACCTGGTGGGTATTACCTGTCTCACCTGGTGGCTATTATCTGACTCACCTGGTGGCTATTATCTGTCTCACCTGGTGGCTATTATCTGTCTCACCCCATGGTTATTACCTGTCTCACCTGGTGGCTATTATCTGTCTCACTTGATGGCTATTATCTGCTCACCTGGTGGCTATTATCTGTCTCACCCCATGGTTATTACCTGTCTCACCTGGTGGCTATTATCTGTCTCACCTGGTGGCTATTATCTGTCTCACTTGATGGCTATTATCTGTCTCACCTCGTGGCTATTATCTGTCTCACTTGATGGCTATTATCTGCTCACCTGGTGGCTATTATCTGTCTCACCTGGTGGCTATTATCTGTCTCACCTCGTGGCTATTATCTGTCTCACCCCGTGGTTATTATCTGTCTCACCTGGTGGTTATTATCTGTCTCACCTGGTGGCTATTATCTTTCTCACCTTGTGGCTATTATCTGTCTCACCTGGTGGCTATTATCTGTCTCACTTGGTGGCTATTATTTGTCTCACCTGGTGGCTGTTATCTATATAACCCTATGGTTATTACCTGTCTCACCTGGTGGCTATTACCTGTCTCACCTCGTGGCTATTATCTGTCTGACCTGGTGGCTATTATCTGTCTCACTTGTTGGCTATTATCTGCTCACCTGGTGGCTATTATCTGTCTCACCTGGTGGCTATTATCTGTCTCACCCCGTGGCTATTATCTGTCTCACCCCGTGGCTATTACCTGTCTCACCTGGTGGCTATTATCTGTCTCACCTGGTGGATATTATTTGTCTCACCTGGTGGCTATTATCTGTCTCACCTGGTGGCTATTATCTGTCTCACCTGGTGGCTATTATCTGTCTCACCTGGTGGCTATTATCTGTCTCACCTGGTGGCTATTATCTGTCTCGCCTGGTGGCTGTTATCTGTCTCACCTGGTGGTTATTATCTGTCTCACCTGGTGGGTATTACCTGTCTCACCTGGTGGCTATTATCTGTCTCACCCCGTGGTTATTATCTGTCTCACCTGGTGGCTATTATCTGTCTCACCTGGTGGCTATTATCTGTCTTACCTGGTGGCTATTATCTGTCTCACCTAGTGGCTATTACCTGTCTCACCTGGTGGCTATTATATGTCTCACCTGGTGGCTATTATCTGTCTCATCTGGTGGCTATTATCTCTCTCACCTGGTGGCTATTATCTTTCTCACCTGGTGGCTATTATCTGTCCCACCTGGTGGCTTTTACTAGAAAAACCACAACAGCCATAAAATGCAGGGTTTGGTTCTTCCATTTCCTGTAAAAGATTAGCAACTAACTTTCTTTAACATCTGGTGGGTATTATGTCTCTCTCACCTAGTGGGTATTATATTTCTCTCACCTGGTGGGTATTATATCTTTCTCTCACCTGGTGGGTTTTATGTATCTCTCTCACCTGGTGGGTATTATATCTGTCTCTCACCTGGTGGGTATTATATCTCTCTCACCTGGTGGGTTTTACGTCTCTCTCACCTGGTGGGTATTATATCTCTCTTACCTGGTGGGTATTATATTTCTCTCACTTGGTGGGTATTTCATCTCTCTCCCCTGGTGGGTATTATATTTCTCTCACCTGGTGGGTATTATATCTCTCTCACCTGGTGGGTATTTTTTCTCTCACCTGGTGGGTATTATGTCTCTCTCTCTCTCTCTCTCCTGGTGGGTATTATGTCTCTCTCTCACCTGGTGGGGATTATGTCTCTCTCTCTCTCTCTCCTGGTGGGTATTATGTCTCTCTCTCTCTCCTGGTGGTTATTATGTCTCTCTCTCACCTGGTGGGTATTATGTCTCTCTCTCACCTGGTGGGTATTATGTCTCTCTCTCTCTTGGTGGGTATTATATCTCTCTCACCTGGTGGGTATTATATCTCTCTCACCTGGTGGGTATTATGAATCTCTCACCTTCTTCTTATTCTGACTTTCTATCCCCCAATGGAGCATAGGCCCTCAACCAACTCACGCCAAGTCGTTCTATCCTTCGCCATTACATGGAGCTCTCCCCATGTCCTCCCAATCTTTCTAACCTCATTCTCCAGCTCTCTTCTCCATGTGTTTTTTGGCCTTCCTGTATTCCTATGCCCCTGTGGGTTCCAATGCAAAGACATTCTAGTTATGCTGTTCTCCTGTTTTCTCAGTGTGTGCCCTATCCAACGCCAGCGTCTTTTCCTCACCTCCTGATCCACTGGAGCCTGTTTAGTTCTCTCCCAAAGTTCTACATTAGTTATTCTATCATACCATTTTATTCCCTCTATTCTGCGCAGGCACCAGTTAATGAATGTCTGTAATTTATTAGCAATTGCCTTCGTTGTTCTCCATGTTTCCGCCCCATACAATAGTACTGATTTGACATTAGAATTAAAAATTTTTAGTTTTGTATTTCTTTTAATTTCTTTTGACCTCCACAAATTCCCTAGTGCTATGAAAGCCCCTCTTGCCTTTTGTATTCTTATTTTAATATCTCTATCAGTTCCTCCATCTTTATCTACATTACTGCCTAAATAGGTGTACGACTCCACGTCTTGGAGTGGGGTGCCATTAAGAGAAACCACATTACTATTTGCCTGATTTATTCTCATTATCTTTGTCTTTCCTCTATGGATTTTCAGACCAAGCTGCTGTGATCTCGCATTAAGTATATTTAATTTATCTTGTATCTGATTCCGTGAATGGGACAGAAGGGCAATATCATCAGCGAAGTCCAGATCATCAAGCTGTTTTGTAGGGGTCCACTGAATTCCATTCTTGGTGTTAGCAGTTACTGTTTTCATAGTATCTGGGCCTGTCGCCTTTCCTTCATAATTTCCTCTTTGGATGGTATCTCACAGTTGATTTCCAGTTCCATTTCTAAAGGCTGGATATCTGGGGGAAACTCTGGGCCTGGTCTATTTAAAAGCATTTCAAAATATTCAACCCATCTGTCCATTTGATCTTTAGTGTTAGTAAGTACCTTTCCTTGACTATTTTTGATTGATCCAGTTGGCTGACTATATTTACCTACTAATTTTCTTGTGTTACTGTAAAGTTCTCTGAGGTTTCCTTTTGCTGCTGCTGTCTCCGCTTCTTGTGCTAGATCATTTAGATATTTCACTTTATCTGCCCTTATATGTTTCCTAACTTCCTTGTTGGCTTCTGTGTAATTCTCCTGAGCTCTAGCTTTAGCAGCTCTAGTTTTGCTATTGTTTAATTCTGCCTTTTTACTTTTCCTATCTTTAATCAGTTTAATGGTTTCTGGTGTTATCCATGCTTTATGTTTCCTTTCTTTCTTGCCAAGAACTTCTACGCAAGATTCATTCCAGATTCCTTTGATCTGATCCCAGCAGACTTCTGTGACGACATCTTCAGCTAACTGCTGCAACACCTGGTACTTATTAGAGACCGTAACTGAGAACTGTTCCTTAATTTCTTTATCTCTGAGAAAGCCTACATTATATTGGTTTCTATGATTATAAGATGTTATATATCTTTTTAGTTTCGACTTGATTTTACTTATCACCAGGAAATGGTCAGTAAATACATCGGCACCTCTGAAAGCTCTAACATCGTAAAGGGATGATCTCAACTTTTTGTTAATACATAGGTGGTCAATTTGATTAGTTGTCTTATGGTCTGGTGATTCCCATGTTGCCTTGTGTATTCTTTTATGGGGAAAAATACTTCCACCAATAACATACTAGTTACCTGCACAAAAATTTGTGAACAATTCTCCATTTTCATTCATTACTCCTAGACCATGTCTCCCCATAATTTCTTCATAACCTGTGTTGTCTGATCCTATCTTAGCATTCAAGTCACAATCAAAATTTTTAAGTTGCCCTTTCTTTCATTATTTATAATATTTTGAAGCTGCATGTAAAATTCTTCCTTAACAGATGCATCTTTATCATTTGTTGGTGCATAACACTGTATTACCGACATGTTCACCTTCTGTTTTACTGTTCTAAAAGATGCTCTTATTATTCTGGGACTCACAGCTTCCCATTCTATTCTCTCTCACCTGGTGTGTATTATATCTCTCCCACCTGGTTGGTATTATATCTCTCTCACCTGGTGGGTATTATGTCTCTCTTACCTGGTGGGTATTATGTCTCTCTCTCACCTGGTAGGTATTATATCTCTTTCACCTGGTGGGTATTATATCTCTTTCCTGGTGGGTATTATATCTATCTTTCCTGGTGGGTATTATATATCTCTCTCTCACCTGGTGGGTAATGTATCTTTCTCCCCTGGTGGGTATTATGTCCCTCTCACCTGGTGGGTATTATGTCCCTCTCACCTGGTGGGTATTATTTCTCTCTCTCACCTGGTGGGTATTATATCTCTCCCACCTGCTGGGTATTATGTCTCTCACCTGGTGGGTATTATATTTCTCTCACCTTGTGGGTATTATGTCTCTCTCACCTGGTGGGTATTATGTCTCTCTCACCTAGTGGGTATTTTGTCTCTCTCTCTTTCCTGGTGGGTATTATGTCTCTCTCTCACCTGGTGGGTATTATGTCTCTCTCTCTCTCCTGGTGGGTATTATGTCTCTCTCTCTCTCCTGGTGGTTATTATGTCTCTCTCTCTCTCTCTCTCCTGGTGGGTATTATGTCTCTCTCTCTCACCTGGTGGGTATTATGTCTCTCTCTCTCCTGGTGGGTATTATATCTCTCTCACCTGGTGGGTATTATATCTCTCTCACCTGGTGGGTATTATATCTCTCTCACCTGGTGGGTATTATGACTCTCTCACCTGGTGTGTATTATATCTCTCCCACCTGGTGGGTAATATATCTCTCTCACCTGGTGGGTATTATATCTCTCTTACCTGGTGGGTATTATATCTCTCTCACCTGGTAGGTATTATATCTCTTTCACCTGGTGGGTATTATATCTCTCTTACCTGGTGGGTATTATGTCTCTCTCTCACCTGGTAGGTATTATATCTCTTTCCTGGTGGGTATTATATCGATCTTTCCTGGTGGGTATTATATATCTCTCTCTCTCACCTGGTGGGTAATATATCTTTCTCCCCTGGTGGGTATTATGTCCCTCTCACTTGGTGGGTATTATATCTCTCTCTCACCTGGTGGGTATTATATCTCTCCCACCTGCTGGGTATTATGTCTCTCTCACCTGGTGGGTATTTTGTCTCTCTCATCTGGTGGGTATTATGTCTCTCTCATCTGGTGGGTATTATATCTCTCCCACCTGCTGGGTATTATGTCTCTCTCACCTGATGGGTATTTTGTCTCTCTCATCTGGTGGGTATTATGTCTCTCTCATCTGCTGGGTATTATGTCTCTCTTACCTGGTGGGTATTATGTCTCTCTCACCTGGTGGGTATTTTGTCTCTCTCATGTGGTGGGTATTTTGTCTCTCTCATCTGGTGGGTATTATGTCTCTCTCATCTGCTGGGTATTTTGTCTCTCTCATCATGTCATGTCTGATGTCATAATTAGTGTAATAAATGATCTGATGCCATGTCTGACTTCAACTTTCAGGGACCAGATTACAGGATCTCACTGGAAGACTTTACCCAGGACATCCAACCACACCTGCAGGTCAATGACCTGGTAGTGTTCTTAGATCCAGGTACTATATCCACTCTGTGTCTCTGATGTCACACACACACACACTATATATCCCTGATGTCATACACACACACACTCGCACACTATATCCCTGATGTCACACACACACTATAATCCTTATGTCATACACACACACACTATATCCCTAAAGTCATACAAACACACACACACTATATCCCTGATGTCATATACACACACTATATCCCTGCTGTCATACACACACACACACTATATCCCTGATGTCATACATACACACACACTATATCCCTGATGTCATACACACACTATTTTACTGATGTCATATACACACACACACACAATCCATGATGTCATACACACACTATATCTCTGATGTCATACAAACACACACACACTATCCCTGATGTCATACATACACACACACTATATCCCTGATGTCATACAAACACACACACACTATATCACTGATGTCATGCACGCACTATATCTCTGATGTCATACATACACACACACACTATATCCCTGATGTCATACAAACACACACACACACTATATCCCTGATGTCATACATGCACTATATCTCTGATGTCATACATACACACACACACTATATCCCTGATGTCATACACGCACTATATCTCTGATGTCATACACGCACTTTATCCCTGATGTCATACACACACTATATCTCTGATGTCATACACACACTATATCCCTGATGTCATACACGCACTATATCTCTGATGTCATACATACACACACACACTATATCCCTGATGTCATACAAACACACACACACACACACTATATCCCTGATGTCATACAAACACACACACACTATATCCCTGATGTCATACAAACACACACACACTATATCCCTGATGTCATACACGCACTATATCTCTGATGTCATACAAACACACACACACTATATCCCTGATGTCATACATACACACACACTATATCCCTGATGTTATACAAACACACACACACTATATCACTGATGTCATACACGCACTATATCTCTGATGTCATACATACACACACACTATATCCCTGATGTCATACAAACACACACACACTATATCACTGATGTCATACACACACTATATCCCTGATGTCATACAAACACACACACACTATATCCCTGATGTCATACACACACTATATCCCTGATGTCATACAAACACACACACACTATATCCCTGATGTCATACAAACACACACACACACTATATCCCTGATGTCATACAAACACACACACTATATCCCTGATGTCATACACACACACACACACTATATCCCTGATGTCATACACACACTATATCCCTGATGTCATACAAACACACACACACACACACACTATATCCCTGATGTCATACAAACACACACACACACTATATCCCTGATGTCATACACACACACACACTATATCCCTGATGTCATACACACACACATTATATCCCTGATGTCATACACACACACAAACACTATATCCCTTATGTCATACACACACACACAAACACTATATCTCTGATGTCATACACACACACACAAACACTATATCACTGATGTCATACACACACACAAACACTATATCCCTGATGTCATACACACACACACACACACTATCATTGATGTCATAAACATACTATATCATTGATGTCATACACACACACTGTACTTCTGATATATACACACACATGCACACACACTCCATCCCTGATGCCATACACACACACTGTATCACTGATGTCATACACACAAACACACACACACAACACCATGTCACTGATGTCATGCACAGTGTGTCTGTTGTCTTGTCCTTCAATCAGTGTGTCTGTTGCCTAGTCCTTCAATCAGTGTGTCTGTTGTCTTGTCCTTCAATCAGTGTGTCTGTTGTCTTGTCCTTCTATCAGTGTGTCTGTTGTCTTGTCCTTAAATCAGTGTGTCTGTTGTCTAGTCCTTCAATCAGTGTGTCTGTTGTCTTGTCCTTCAATCAGTGTGTCTGTTGCCTAGTCCTTCAATCAGTGTGTCTGTTGTCTTGTCCTTCAATCAGTGTGTCTGTTGCCTTGTCCTTCAATCAGTGTGTCTGTTGTCTTGTCCTTCAATCAGTGTGTCTGTTGCCTAGTCCTTCAATCAGTGTGTCTGTTGCCTAGTCCTTCAATCAGTGTGTCTGTTGTCTTGTCCTTCAATCAGTGTGTCTGTTGCCTAGTCCTTCAATCAGTGTGTCTGTTGCCTTGTCCTTCAATCAGTGTGTCTGTTGCCTAGTCCTTCAATCAGTGTGTCTGTTGCCTAGTCCTTCAATCAGTGTGTCTGTTGTCTTGTCCTTCAATCAGTGTGTCTGTTGTCTTGTCCTTCAATCAGTGTGTCTGTTGCCTAGTCCTTCAATCAGTGTGTCTGTTGTCTTGTCCTTCAATCAGTGTGTCTGTTGTCTTGTCCTTCTATCAGTGTGTCTGTTGTCTTGTCCTTAAATCAGTGTTTCTGTTGTCTAGTCCTTCAATCAGTGTGTCTGTTGTCTTATCATGCAATCAAAATGTCTGTTGTCTTGTTCATCTATCAACTCTTATGCTCTCCTCAGATGAGCTGCACAGGTTTGAGCCAAGCATGTCTGCCATGCCATGCAGGAAAGTGGCAGTGCTGCTGACACAAGAAGATGTGAGTGCATGATGTATGGAGTAGTGATATATGGGGGTGTAATTCTGTAGAGTTGTGATTTTGGAGATGTGATGTATAGAGAGGTGATGTTATGAGTTTACGTCAGATTATCTTCACAGCACTCCGGTCACATCTAGATGTTCAGATTCCCCTCTCAACATATTCATCACCATTGCGCTGTTAATAGTGCGAGTGTGCTTCACATGCTTGGCTGTGCCGATCTTTACTCCCAGTTCGCGTATTCTTAGCAGTGATGTGGACATGTTGTTTCCAAAATCCTCAGAACGTCCTATCTCTCTAAGGGCAATGACATTGTCTGTGTGATCCATGAGCCAGTCATCTTCAATTAATGCAGCACCTGCCAGTCTATCAGCTCTTTCATTACCAACAACGCCTGCATACCCTGGGACGAATATGAAAGTAACTGCACACACAGGTGAATTTTGCAATGACTCAAGCCACTGTCTGCATAAACCAGCCTGCCCCGGCCCCCCGGATCATCCTCAAAGAATCACTCAGCACACACACGCGGGAATAGTCCTGTGATTCTAACCACATGAAAGTTTGTGTCACCGCCATCACCTCCATCGTTATGCTGCTGGTAGTCATAGAGAAGGCACCGCTGGCTTCTTGAACTGTTCTGCCTGAAGAGCGAGCTGTAAATGCCAATGCACTCTTATGTCTTTGTATAAAGGACCCGTCTGTGAAGATCACCACATCTGTCTCATCTGACTTGTCACTGATACTTCTTCTTCTTCTGCGTTCGACATCAGTCATGCTAGACATTGAGTCCCGTCTGGGTCACAGATAGGATTGTGCGTTTAAGGTCACCACCGGTCCCCCATAGCTTCTCTTTCAATGTGGCTCCCTTGGGCCAGATCCACAGTCTTTGCTGGGAGAGGTTAGGGCAGTGCTGCAGTATGTGCCCAGGGGTCTGTCGTTCTGCTCCACAGTCACAGGCAGCAGATTCTTTTATGCCTATCCTGTACAGGTGTGCTCGAAGACCACAGTGTCCAGTCCGAAGTCTAAAAATTTTTGTTTGTTCTTTCCTGTTAAGTTTGTTTATGCTGTCACTCTCTGGTCTGTAATCTCCATTCTGCCATTGCCACTCCCGCTTGAAAGACTGCTTTAAAAAAAACTGATATGTGGTGATGTGATGTGTGGGATGTGATGTGATGTGTAGAGATGTGATTGTGGGGATTTGACAACATGTGCTGTATATTTATAGAAAAGTGTACATGTGTTTCTAAATAATGTATATGTGTTTATATAAATGGATGTATGTGTGTGTGCAGGTGGGTGTGTGTGTGTAGACATGTTTTCCTGTATTTCCCTCATTGTTTTGAACCAGGTTTCCCAAGGAGTTCCAGTTTGTGACTTCGTGTTAAACATCAATTTGGACTTACCACATCTGAAAACCTGGACAGCAGAGTCAGGGAAGAATCTGGTTTACCAGCTGGCAAAAGAAATCTCCTTCAAATGGCTCCTAAATTGCTTATCCACGGCGGCGCATGTCCTCAAGGGTAAAGTTTTCCAAAATAGCATGGTGGACGTTCGTGTCGGCAACTCCAAACTCTTTGGCAGGGCTGCCAGGATCATACAGGCAAGAATTGTACACTTGTATTGGTATAAAATTGGACAAGGGCTGAACACTTATGCTGGTACAAAGTTAGACAAAGCTGTACACTTATATTGGTACAAAGTTGAACAAAGCTGTACACTTATATTGGTACAAAGTTAGGCAAAGCTGTACACTTAAATTGGTACAAAGTTGTACACTTAGTTGATAAAAATGTGGTCAGAGCTATACACTTGTATTGGTGCAGGGTTGGAAGATTTACACACTTGTATTGGTGCAGGGTTGGAAGATTTACACACTTGTATTGGTGCAGGGTTGGAAGATTTACACACTTGTATTGGTACAGGGTTGGAAGATTTACACACTTGTATTGGTGCAAGGGTGCAAGGTTTGAAGATTTACACACTTGTATTGGTGCAGGGTTGGAAGATTTACACACTTGTATTGGTGCAGGGTTGGAAGATTTACACACTTGTATTGGTGCAGGCTTGGAAGATTTACACACTTGTATTGGTGCAGGCTTGGAAGATTTACACACTTGTATTGGTGCAGGCTTGGAAGATTTACACACTTGTATTGGTGCAGGGTTGGAAGATTTACACACTTGTATTGGTGCAAGGTTTGAAGATTTACACACTTGTATTGGTACAGGGTTGGAAGATTTACACACTTGTATTGGTGTAGGGTTGGAAGATTTACACACTTGTATTGGTGCAGGGTTGGAAGATTTACACACTTGTATTGGTGCAGGGTTGGAAGATTTACACACTTGTATTGGTGCAGGCTTGGAAGATTTACACACTTGGTGCAGGGTTAGGAGATTTACACACTTGGTGCAGGCTTGGAAGATTTACACACGTGTACTAGTGCAGGGCTGGAAGATTTACACACTTGGTGCAGGGTTGGAAGATTTACACACGTGTACTAGTGCAGGGCTGGAAGATTTACACACTAGGTGCAGGGTTGGAAGATTTACACACTTGGTGCACGGTTGGAAGATTTACACACTTGGTGCAGGGTTGGAAGATTTACACACTTGGTGCAGGGTTGGAAGATTTACACACTTGGTGCAGGGTTGGAAGATTTACACACTTGGTGCAGGGTTGGAATATTTACACACTTGGTGCAGGGTTGGAAGATTTACACACTTGTATTGGTGCAGGGCTGGAAGATTTACACACTTGTATTGGTGCAGGGTTGCACAAAATTGTATATTTGTATTTATTTAAAGTTGCACAAGAGTTGTATACTTGTGTTTGTGAAAAACTTAACAAGAGTGTGTACTCACATTGGATAAGAATTTTACACTTGCATTATTGGTGTAAAGTTGGACAAGAGTTATACACTTGTATTGGTGTAAAGTTGGACAAGAGTTATACACTTGTATTGGTGTAAAGTTGGACAAGAGTTATACACTTGTATTGGTGTAAAGTTGGACAAGAGTTATACACTTGTATTGGTGTAAAGTTGGACAAGAGTTATACACTTGTATTGGTGTAAAGTTGGACAAGAGTTATACACTCGTATTGGTGTAAAGTTGGACAAGAGTTATACACTTGTATTGGTGTAAAGTTGGACAAGAGTTATACACTTGTATTGGTGTAAAGTTGGACAAGAGTTATACACTTGTATTGGTGTAAAGTTGGACAAGAGTTATACACTCGTATTGGTGTAAAGTTGGACAAGAGTTATACACTTGTATTGGTGTAAAGTTGGACAAGAGTTATACACTTATATTGGTGTAAAGTTGGACAAGAGTTATAACCATAACCATGACATGTTGGACAAGAGTTATACACTTGTATGGTGTAGTGTTGGACAAGAGTTGTAAAGTTGTGTTTGCAAATATAAATGGTCAAAATTTGTACATTTACAAGTATCATCATCATCGTGAAGCAGATCCTTTGCAGAACATCGCTGTCATCATGGTCTGCCTGAAAGAAACTCAGTCTCTCGCCAGCTCTACCATTTTATGCACTTTCATACTCAAGGAGTCACATATATCTTGTGCCCATCTTCATGTTGGTTGGCCCCTGCCCCTCCTTCCTGATGCCATGCTTTCTGCTATAATTTCCTCCAGTCCATCGTGGCGCTTGATATGACCCAAATATTTCAGCTTCCGAGACAGGATGCTGTTTAATAGCAAATCTTCGTTGATGTTCAGATCTTTCAAGATGTCAGCATTTCTCCTCTTTTTCGTCCAAGATATTCTGAGAATCTTTCTATAGCATTTAAGCTCAAAAACCCCTATTCTCTTTCTAGTCCACGACTCACATCCATATGTTGCTACAGGGAAGATGCATGCTCTGAAAATTACAATTTTGATCTCCTTGCTGGTGCTTAACCATAGACTTTTTAAGCTGTTGAATCTTTGCATTGCCATGGCCATCCTCCTTTTAATTTCTGTTGAACAGTCTCCATTGCTATTTATTATAGAGCCTAGATATTCAAAGTTTGTGACATTTTCAATTTCTTCATCATTTATTGTCATTTTTGGGTGACAGCCAGTTTTATCTGTGGACATCATTTTCGTTTTCTTTATATTTAAGAACAGATTTTGATCTTCACTATGCTTTTGGACAGACAATATTACATTTTCTATCCGCTTTACGCTGTTCTAAACTTACAAGTATATTGGTGTAATATTGGACAAGAATTTGACACTTGTGTTGGTGTAATGTTGGACAACAGTTTTATACTTGTGTTTGCAACAAAACTGGTCAGAAGTTGTACACTTATATTGGTGAAATGTTGGACAAGAATTTTACTCTTATTGATGTAAAGTTGGACAAGATTTGTAACCATAATTATGACATGTTGGACAAGAGTTGTACACTTGTATTGGTGTAATGTTGGACAAGATTTGTACGCTAGTATTAGTGCAATGCTTGACAAGAGTTATAACCATAACTATGTCATGTTGTACAAGAGTTGTACACTTGTATTTTTGTAATGTTGGACAAGAGTTGTACACTTGTATAATTGTAATTCTTGACAAGAGTTGTAACCATAACTATGACATGTTGGACTAGAGTTGTACACTTGTATTGGTGTAATGTTGGACAAGAGTTGTACGCTTGTATTAGTGTAATGCTTGACAAGAGTTGTAACCATAACTTTGACATGTTGGACTAGAGTTGTACACTTGTATTGGTGTAATGTTGGACAAGAGTTGTACACTTGTATTAGTGTAATGCTTGACAAGAGTTGTAACCATAACTATGACATGTTGGACTAGAGTTGTACACTTGTATTGGTGTAATGTTGGACTAGAGTTGTACACTTTTGTTGGTGTAATGTTGGACAAGAGTTGTACACTTGTGTTAGTGTAATGCTTGACAAGAGTTGTAACCATTTTGACAATTGCCATGCAGAAATACTGTGGCCTGAGTGTACAAGAGGCAACTGAGTACCTGCTGAGATCTATTTATGGAACAGATGCACTGACTCCGGAGCAGAGATCCGGACATGTTGTCAACCATGTCCTAGTAGCCTCACAACAAGACAAGGTTGGTCTTTGTTTGTCAGCCATGTTCTAGCTGCCTAACAACAAGACAAGGTTGTTCTTTGTTTGTGAACAATGTCCTAGTAGCCTCACAACAAGACAAGGTTGGTCTTTGTTTGTGAACCAAGTTCTAGCTGCCTCACAACAAGGCAAGGTTTTCTTTGTTTGTGAACCACGTTCTAGCTGCCTCACAACAAGACAAGGTTGTTCTTTGTTTGTGAACCATGTTCTAGCTGCCTCACAACAAGACAAGGTTGTTCTTTGTTTGTAAACCAAGTTCTAGCTGCCTCACAACAAGACAAGGTTGTTCTTTGTTTGTGAACCATGTTCTAGCTGCCTCACAACAAGACAAGGTTGTTCTTTGTTTGTGAACCATGTTCTAGCTGCCTCACAACAAGACAAGGTTGTTCTTTGTTTGTAAACCAAGTTCTAGCTGCCTCACAACAAGACAAGGTTGTTCTTAGTTTGTGAACCATGTTCTAGCTGCCTCACAACAAGACAAGGTTGTTCTTTGTTTGTGAACCATGTTCAAGCTGCCTCACAACAAGACAATGTTGTTCTTTGTTTGTGAACCATGTTCTAGCTACCTCAAAACAAGACAATGTTGTTCTTTGTTTGTGAACCATGTTCTAGCTGCCTCACAACAAGACAACTTTGTTCTTTGTTTGTGAACCATGTTCTAGCTGCCTAACAACAAGACAAGTTGTTCTTTGTTTGTGAACCATGTTCTAGCTGCCTCAAAACAAGACAATGTTGTTCTTTGTTTGTGAACCATGTTCTAGCTGCCTCACAACAAGACAAGGTTGTTCTTTGTTTGTGAGCCATGTTCTAGCTGCCTTAAAACAAGATAATGTTGTTCTTTGTTTGTGAACCATGTTCTAGCTGCCTCACAACAAGACAAGGTTGTTCTTTGTTTGTGAACCATGTTCTAGCTGCCTCAAAACAAGATAATGTTGTTCTTTGTTTGTAAACCATGTTCTAGCTGCCTAACAACAAGACAAGTTCTTCTTTGTTTGTGAACCATGTTCTAGCTGCCTCAAAACAAGACAATGTTGTTCTTTGTTTGTGAACCGCGTTCTAGCTGCCTCACAACAAGACAAGGTTGTTCTTTGTTTGTGAACCATGTTCTAGCTGCCTCAAAACAAGATAATGTTGTTCTTTGTTTGTGAACCATGTTCTAGCTGCCTAACAATAAGACAATGTTGTTCTTTGTTTGTGAACCATGTTCTAGCTGCCTCATAACAAGACAATGTTATTCTTTGTGAACCATGTTCTAGATGCCTCACAACAAGACAAGGTTGTTCTTTGTTTGTGAACCATGTTCTAGCTGGCTCACAACAAGACAAGGTTGTTTTTGTTTGTGAACCATGTTCTAGCTGCCTCAAAACCAGATAATGTTGTTCTTTGTTTGTGAACCATATTCTAGCTGCCTCAAAACAAGATAATGTTGTTCTTTGTTTGTGAACCATGTTCTAGCTGCCTCACAACAAGACAAGGTTGTTCTTTGTTTGCCAGCCATGTTCAAGCTGCCTTACAGCAAAACAAGGTTGTTCTTTGTCAACCACGTTCTAGCTGCCTTACAACAAGATAAGGTTGGAGTTTTGTCAACCATATCCTGAAGATGGTACATTTTTGTGTCATAAATTTGATTACACAATGACGTCAGAGAGTTTATTATATATCCTGTTCTAACGTGGATTACCTATCCATGTCCTAACATGGGTTTTCTATCAGTGTCCTAACGTGGTTTACCTATCCATGTCCTAACATGGGTTTTCTATCAGTGTCCTAACGTGGTTTACCTATCCATGTTCTAAGAAATTACTCCACAGAACCATGACTAATGAAATGTTGGGGGAGAACATTGTACATGTACAAAAACCAAAAGATCTTTTGGTCAGAGCCTTTCTCCACATAAACCACAACAACTGCAACAAAGGGCAAACTACTCTGACCACTAGTACCTAAACAAGGGGGTGAGGGGTAGTGGTCGCATAAATAACTGTAAAATTTAGGAAGACAAAAAGGCGTGAAACAAATAAATGAAATAAAGGAGCGAAAAGAAGTAATAATAAAAACAGGAGTAATAATCATAGTAGTAGTGGAAATAGCATAATATAATATTATCGTCTGGAAAAACGGAAAGGTATCAATTAATAGTGGTGGAAATAACACAGTACAAGACTATCGTCTGGAAAAACGGAAAGGTACCAATTAATAGTGGTGGAAATAACACAGTACAGGAAGCAAAATTAAATATTCGGGCCACATTAGCAAAGTCAATAGGAGACTCGCTTTCAAATCCAGCTGCGACTGGCTGCAGCCGACGGCCGGTGTTCGAAACCGGACGGTTACTGAGGTTTACCCAGCCTCTAGGAAATGTTCACCAGAGTTAACACTCGGGTAAATGGAGGAACGTCGCTGTAGCTACGGAGTTGCTTGCGGACAGCGACACAAGTGGACACATCTTTATCAGCTATCTGTACAGGTAGCAGAGCAGTTATTGTTTATAACCGTGTGCAATGAGGCTAGTTCACATCTCCTGACTTTATATCTTTTTTTTTTAATACATATTCATGTTCTAGATTTGATTACATATCCGTGTTCTAGAGTTCCAGAGTTGTGCAGACTGTACATCTTCCATGACCTAGAATTACAGAAATGCGATGTTTGTTTCCCTGCCCCATGTGGGCAGTTTGCCTATTTTAGGTTGTTTACACTGCTCCACTGGCCAGTTTCCCTATTTCAGGTTGTTTACACTGCTCCATTGGTCAGTTTCCCTATTTCAGGTTGTTTACACTGATCCACTGGTCAGTTTCCCTATTTCAGGTTGTTTACACTGCTCCACTGGCCAGTTTCCCTATTTCAGGTTGTTTACACTGCTCCACTGGCCATTTTCCCTATTTCAGGTTGTTTACACTGCTCCACTTGTCAGTTTCCCTATTTTAGGTTGTTTACACTGCTCCACTGGTCAGTTTCCCTATTTCAGGTTGTTTACACTGCTCCGTGTAAAAGGTTTCTCTATCTCATGTTGTTTATACTGCCCTTTATGGTGGTTTCCCTATCTCTAGTTATTTACGATGCCCCGTTAGACAGTTTCTCTATTTCATGTTGTTAACTCTGCTCCAAGTAAAAGGTTTCTTTGTCTCGTGTTGTTTAAATTGCCCTGTGTGGGCGGTTTCCGTATCACACACAGGTAGTGCCCAAAGCTATGTTGATGGCCTGTCTCCGATGTTCAGTCCAGGAAGCAGAGGTCATGTTGGCCAGGGAGCCAATCATCAGCAAGCTTCTCAAGGCAAAGGCAACACAGGTCAAGGAGTGAAGGACATAGTCAGTCAGCAGCTAATGGCAAAGTTGTCTTGTGTCTGATTGTCTCTTCCTCCCCTTCCCATTCTTTTCTCGTGTCAGGTTGTCTTCTCCCTTCCCTTCCCTTTCTTTTCTTGTGTGAGGTTGTCTTCTCCCTTCCCTTGCCTTTCTTGTGTCTGGTTATTTCCTCTTCTCCTCCTCTTTCCTTTATAGTTTCTGGTTGTCTCCACCTTTCCTTTCTTTTTCCTGTCTTGTGCATAGTTGTCTTCCCTGTCCCCTTCCCTTTCCTTTCTTGTGCATAGTTGTCTTCCCCTCCTCTTCCCTTTCCTTTCTTATGTCAGGATGTCTCTCCCCTCCCCACCCCTTTCGTTTTTTGTGTCTGATTGTCGCCCTCCTCCTTATCCTTTCTTGTGTCTGGTCGTCTCTCACTCATTTCTTTTCTTGTGTCTGGTTGTTTCCCCTCCCCCTTCCTTTCTTTTGTCTTGATGTTTCTTTTCCTTTCTTGTATCTCGTTGTCTCCGCCCTCCCATTCCCTGACCTTTCTTGTGTCTGGTTGTCTCCCCTCTCCCGTTTCCTTTCTTGTGTCTGGTTGTCTCCCCTCTCCAGTTTCCTTTCTTGCGTCAGGTTGTCTCCCCTCTCCCGTTTCCTTTCTTGCGTCAGGTTGTCTCCTCCTCCCTTTTCCTTTCTTGTGTCTAGATGTCGAGCCCTCCCCTTTCCTCCTCTCTTGTGTCTTGTTGCGCCCTTCCCTTTCCTTTCTTGTGTCTGGTTGTCTCCCCCCTCCCGTTTCCTTTTTTGAGTCAGGTTTTCTCCCCCTCCCTTTTTTTTTTTTTTATAGTTTTTTTGTGTGTCGGGTCGTCTGTCCCAAGGGAAATTAGAAGAATTAACTCCCTAATGGGTTGGTTTTTTTACTGTCTGGTACCTATAAATTGTGTCTGTATATCTGTGTAGGTCTTGTCTGTTTATCTGTATAGATCTTGTCTGTTTATCTGTGTAGGTCTTGTCTGTTTATCTGTGTAGGTCTTGTCTGTTTATCTGTTTAGGTCTTGTCTGTGTATTGTGTAAGTCTTGTCTGTTTATCTGTGTAGATCTTGTCTGTTTATCTGTGTAGGTCTTGTCTGTTTATCTGTGTAGGTCTTGTCTGTTTATCTGTGTAGATCTTGTCTGTTTATCTGTGTAAGTCTTGTCTGTTTATCGGTGTAGGTCTTGTCTGTTTATCTGTGTAGGTCTTGTCTGTTTATCTGTGTAGGTCTTGTCTGTTTATCTGTGAAGATCTTGTCTATGTGGGAAAGTAGAAAGGAGGGGACATTATTAGCTTCACCCACCGGTTATATTGAGAATGTTATCCCTTTTTTTTTTCTAGAACTGACCATGTCTATCAATAATAATAGGAAGTTGGTACACCCTTAGTAAAGATAATTGCAACCTAGCGAGATCTACAACCGTTAACAACAAAATCGCCTGTCGCAGAAAGGGAAAATAAATCACATGTTGCAGAATAAAAAAGTTTGTTGCAAATCCTTTACAGGACGTTTCAGAAACAACCTCATCGTTTTTGGCTGTTGTGGTTTTTCTGGGCAAATTTTACTTTCAGTAGTTTGCCAGTGCTTACTAAACTGTTTCCCTAAGTCAGATGTGGTGATATTTACAGACGGGTCCGTTATACGAGGACATAAAGAGTGCATGGGCATTTGCACCTCT